GAGCTATTTTCTCTCCTTTCTCTGTAGCCAGGATGACCTTGGCCTCTTTGTGGAACCTGATCTATTTTTACCAAAGCTCCTAGACTCCAAAGGGAAACCAGGGGAGTCCTAACCTTTGGGGGCCCCTTAACTTTAATTATTCCCCTGATGAAAAGCAGCTGGACTGGAAATACTCTTTCCCATAGCTTAGGCCCTTGGGATAGTCTTTAAAGCATTAAATTACTTTTAACTTGACTCTCATTTGAGTGTGTATAATTAGATACAAGATCCCCCTTGGGCCTGGAGGGAGAGTCTACCCCAAAGTTTTAGAGAAATTCACCCATACAGAACAGGACATTAAACAAAAGTAGGACTTCTGAGCCACCACAAAATCATGGAAATCTTTGAGTACTAGTTTTTGCTTCTAGTTTAAGAACCCGTCATACTGGAGGTTGGTAGATCCAACATAGACAACTGAACTCGGGTTATTGTGATAAAATAGTTAAACCACATTGTTTAAAAGATAATCCCTCTCTTGCCTATTTTCTTTACCCTGAGGGCAACAGACTAAATGTCAGCAATAAATATAAATGAATAAGCCTTAAGAAATGTGCTGGTAGCCCTGGCCAGGTAGCTCAGTTGGTTAGAACATTGTCCTGATAAAACAAGGTTGCAGGTTTGAGTCCCAGTTAGGGTACATACAAGAATCAACCTTTCCCTCCCCTTTCCTCTCTCTCTAAAATAAATAAATACTTTTTTAAAAATGTGCTGGTAATCCTCAGACCTTTTCCTTCCTGGAGTGCCCAAATTTTATTCAGCTTGATAATCTAGATTTGTGGTTCTCAAAATGTGGTCCCTGGACCATCAGCATCACCTGAAAACTGATAGAAATCAAAATTCTTTGACCTCAGTTCAGTCATACTGAATTGGAAACTGGAAGTGGAACCCAGTAATCTGTATTTTAATAAACCCTCTCAGTGATTGTGATATATGATAAAGTTTGTGAAACACTAACTCTAGATATCAGGAATGAACCATGGTTTTTTGCTTTGCTAGTCCATTGCTTTAACATAAATACCTTATTACTCAACTGGGTAATATTGCCTATGTGAACACCAGGAGTAGGCAACCTCTGTTAGTATCACATTAAATGGCACCCAGAATCAAAATTGTTGGTAGCCTTCACAGTGCTTTTCTGCTCCTTGTCTTTCCTTCTTGCTGAGTGCCTGGAACAAGGCAGCTGCTTGGTAAATACTTGTTAAATGAATTCAGTGCCTGCCTCCATCCGTCCCTAGAAGGTGAAACCACATTCTTTCCTTTTGGATTCTTTCTCTGTAGGAGTGTTAAACCAGAAAGTGAAGTTCCCAGTTAAGAATACTTATTTCTCCTAGTAGTGACACTGGTTGGAAGAGATTGCTGGTATTAAAAATAAAAAAGAAGAGGAGGAAAAAAGAAATGGTTCTTATATAGCTGATTGGATGCTTTCTTCAGAATTATCTACCTGTATTTATCAAACTTAGCTTACACCAGAATCACCTGGAGAACTTGTCAGGTCATGGATTGCTGGACCCTGCTCCTAGAGTTTCTGCTTTAGTAGGTCTAGGATGGGGCCAGAAGATTTTAATGCCAACAAGTGCCCAGGTATAGTGATGCTACTGGTCTAGGGACCACCATTTGAGAACCACTGCCCTTAGTTCAGTAAGACCAGAAATATAGGTAATTTTATGAATGTGAATGTTAGTTCCTGGTCCTTGCAGAGCCAATGTTCCATAATTGGAAAGTATAGAATATATCTGGATAACAAACTTACTGAATATTTTTTCTAGAGGTATCAGTTAAGATATTTTTTAATACAAGACCTTTTAAAAATAAAAGGAATTGTATTAAAAATGGACTCAAAACTCACCTACCTGAATAACTGAATTTAATTGAGTGGAATAGATTCTTTACCCAGATCTTGCAACGCTGATTACTACATTTCTCTGCTTCTCTGCTTTTTTTCACCTCAAGTTTTGTTGAGAGTTTAGCTAAGCTACTCCATTGTATTGCCACCTCAGCATTCATTTTGTTTGGCCAAGCAGCCTACAGTGACCTTAAACTGACACTAGTCTTCTCCTGTAAGTGCATGCCCTCAATAGTAGCACTCAGAGTCACAAGCAAATGGAAGTTCCTGGTATGACTTCTCCAACAGCCCTTGTGATCAACGGTCTCCTCTGTCTCCCATTCCCTGCCCCTCATTCCCCCCTTAGAAAAGACCCCATGTCGCTTACCAAAACCCTGTTGTTTTGGTTTGACTTAACCATTCCGGCCTTAGCCCAGGAATCCCAAAGTGCTGCACCCGTAGACTCTTATAAAGGCAATGCTCCAGTTCTAGCCCCTCTCTCTATATTCTGCCTTGACCTCCCATGTGTCTCTGGAGGCATGTTAAGAACCTATGAGTAATAAGCTACTCTATTTCAATTCCTCTTGTTGGTTTATTGTTGAATCTTAACTCACCATCTGGCACCCTGTACTCCACTTAATAAGTGTTAATTTGACAAATTCATAACAAGCTTACTTAATTTTCCAATATAATTTTATACCTTAACATGTGTTCTTGTATATCTATTTTCTGGCCTTAAATACAACAGGTTCCTAAAGAATGGGAAAGTTGACATTTCTTTTGGATTTTTTTTCTCACAACTAAACACAATTTTGTAAACTTGACTCCTTGACTCCTTGTCACTTGTGTTCTTATGTAACACATTCTGAGCATCTCCTGAAACAGGTTAAAATGCGGTAAAACTGAGGCTTCCCCTCACAACTCTTTTATAAGCTTTTTTCCCCCTTGCTGGATGGATAGTTTAAAGAAGAAAATCTGAAGTATATCAATGAATGAATTCTTATATTTAATTGTTATGTTAGTTGAATATTTTCAGCCATACCCATATAAATGCATACATCCCTCTGCAGATTAAATTCAGAGTTACTGTCCCAGATAGGTTCTAGAAAAGAAAAAAAGTATTGACAGTTTTAGTTTTTCTTTTAATGAAATATCTCCCACAAATATGTGGAAAGGCTTACCAAATCAGTACCTTCTGTTAAAACCTGTGGTTGGTGTTGCTCTGTAATTTCAATATCCCCAGAGCCATATTATTTTCTCCAATTCCAGGGTTTTGTTTGCCACAGTTTTCTTATTCCAGAAAAATCTGGAACACCCCTGTGGAAGTGCCTTTGTGTTAACATACTTCCTTGAATAGTTTTCATGAACAAATTAAAAGACAGTTTGTCACTTTTATGTCCTCATATGTATGTTTCTTATACATGCCATTCATGTTAATTTACAAATACTGACTTAAAAATTGTCCTTTAACTTACTATAATTATAAAAGACATGCAAATGCCACTAGTACATGTTACCCATATAATTATTACTAAATATTTTATACCATTATTGATATTCTTAGTGAATGCCAGCTCTCATCATGGGAATTTGTGAGGGATAGAGGCCATCACTGTCAAATTGCTCAGAATTTCTAGTTCCCAAATTATTTGATATTTCATTATATACCAGTCTCTCATCCTTAGTACCCTTAGATTTCATGAGTATAATTACCCCAATTTAAAAAATATTCTCTACTTTTCTTTCTTTGGGTCTCCTGGTCAGTGACACTTCATTAAAGCACTTTAGTAAAACATAGGCAAATAATATGAGATGTTAAGCATGAGATGTTCTTTTGTTTATATACTGAGTTTTAAAATGTGTAGTAGTGATATTTTCTTTTTTATATATGCATCTACAATGTCTGTTTTAAATTCCTTTTTTATTTTCTTGAATGCTTAACTTGGAGAAAAGAAAGAATCTAGAATTTGGAGACAATCCCAAATTTTTCTGGATGTTTCACTAATAAAAAAGTATCTTTTTTTAAAGAATGTATAGCATTTAAGGTATGGATTAGTACCATATATTTATTACCATGGAATCAGTAGTAGTATTTTGGTGTTTTAGTATTATCCTGAAATCAAGACATAAACATGAAGCTTGTTATAACAGGTCATTAAGATTTGGACTAATTATAGTTTGTTGTTATTTCATTGGCAATACAATCAGAGTTAGGAGTTAAATGCCTCTAAAAAGAAATGTAAGAACTGATTGAGATGGTGTAGTGGTTTAGAATCCAGACTTCAAGTTTGGATTGGGTAAAGCCATTTAGCAGTTGAGTAACCTTAGGCAAGTTTCTTAAACTTTCTAAGTGCCTAAGTTTCCTCATCTGAAAAATAGGAATAATACTACCAGTTAGTGAAGATTAAATGAGATACTCTGTATAAATTACCTGTATGGTATATAGCATGAATCATAACTGTATACAGTGACTGTTAATTAAAATTCTGATATAAAACTATCAGTTACTTAGTGTTTAGTATGATGGGTTTTGGGGCGGGTTTTTTTTTTTTTGGCAATATATAAAAATCCAAGAGCAAGTTCATCTGTCACAATGTCATTTTCTCTGCTAGATGGCTGCCTGAAAGTGGCGAGCTGATTCTGAATAGCAGATGAGAATGTACTGAAGTGAGAGAAAGCGAAGGCTGTAATGACGAAAGAGTGAGAGAGTAGAAAAGAATGTAAGGGTATGAGAGAGAAGACACTGGGACACGGAGAAAACAGATCCCTCCTTCCCTGAAAATGAAATAGGAGCAAAAGGGAAGCAGAAATCAGGAAAAAAGATGAACAGAGAGAGAGGACAATAAAAAGATTTTTCAGAGCCCTGGCCCGTGTGGCTTAGCTGGTTGGAGCGCCGCCCCATGCACTTGGAAGGTCATGGGTTTGATTCCTGGTCAGGGCATATGCCTGGGGTACAGATTCGATTGCTAGTCTGGGCATATGCAGAGGCAACTAATTGATGCATCTCTCTCACATTGATGTTTTCCTTTCTCTCCCCCTTCCTCCCTCTCTAAAATCAATTTTTTAAAAATTTTTAAGAGATTTTTCTGACCGTAATTCTCTACATATTCTTGTCTTTTTCTTTTTTTGGTAGATATTCTTTTGTCACTTTCCATGTATGGACTGAGTCCTGATCGTAATCATATGATGGTAGATTTCATTGAAGAGTGGTAAGTATTTCAAATAATGGCTTTGTTTCTGCTATTACTTATATTACTGTGTTGATTTATTTCAACCCACTTTGGGTAAACACTTCTTTACAATTGATGTATAAATAACTTGGCATTTAAAAGGATGCATGAAGAATGTATATATTTTTTATACATTGGAATACTTTTCGAGTATGTACATATTTATCCTTTGGGTACTTATTTTATAAGGAGCTATGGTTGGTACAGAAGATAGAAAAATGGGTAGCCTGGCTGGGCATGGCTCAGCTGTTGAGTGTCGGCCTAGGATCCAGGAGATGGAGGTTCGATTCCTGGTCAGGGCACATGCCAGGTTGCAGGCTCGATCCCCAGCAGGGGGCATGCAGGAGGCAGCCGATCAATGACACTCTCATCATTGATGTTTCTCTCTCTCTCTCTGAAATCAATAAAGATTTTTTTTTTTTAATGGGTAAATTATAATCCAGTGGAGAACCTCAGCCCATATAAAATTCACCTTAATTTAGCATAGGTATTGAATCTTTGAATACCTAATTTGGAAAGTCAGGCCAATATGCAAATATTGCTTAGAACATTCGTAGTACTCAAGATTTAGAATTGCTTTTTGAACCAGTACATAAGCAGGAAAAGAAACTTAGCATGGGGATATAAAGTACAGCATAGAGAATATAATAAAAAATATAGTAATAACTATGTATGATGTCAGGGGGTACTAGACTTGTCAGGGGGATCTCTTTGTGAGTTATGTAAATGTCTAACCACATTATTGTACATCTGAAACTAATATAATATTGAATGTCAACTGTAATTGGGGAAAAAATTTTAATTAAAAAAAAAAAAGTACCAAAAAAAGGAAAAAAATGGGGGGAAAAAAAAAAGAAAGAAATATAGTTATTTTGTAGCCAGATTTTTACATATTTAATCAAAAGTAGTAGTATTGTGGAATTGCCATTTGACCCAGTGATCTGAATTCTAGGAATATATCCTAAGTATCCTGAAACACCAGTCAGAAAGAATATATGCACCCCTATGTTCACAGCAATGCTATTTATAATAACCTAAGTTCTGGAAACAGCCCAAGTGCCCATCAGTAGATGAGTGGATAAAAAAGCTGTGGTACATTTACATAATGGAATACTATGCAGCTGTAAAAAAGAAGGGTCTCTTACCCTTTGAGACAGCATGGAGGGACCTGGAGAGTATTATGCTAAGCGAAATAAGCCAGTCAGAGAAAGACAAGTATCACATGATCTCACTTATATTGGAATCTAATGAACAAAATAAACTGATGAACAAATAGATCCAGAGACATGGGAGCATGGAATAGAGTAACGGATCTCAGGGAGTGGGAGTCAGAAGAAATTAACCAAAGAACTTATATGCATATATGCATAACCATGGGGACAGAAAATAGTGAAGTGAAGGTATAGGGGCAGGGACAGGAGCAGGGTGGAGGGGGTCAATGGGGGGAGAAAGGAGGGACATCTGTAATATTTTCAACAATAAAGATAAATTTTTAAAAAACATTTATTGAATACCTACTATGTAAAAAAAAGTAGTATTGCCACATTTGGTCACCCTTGTATTAATCAGATGGGTTTTAGGTTATATTTGGTTGATTCTAGAAAAAAACATCTTGGGATAGGAATTGGCCAACTATTGATGTTTAAAAAAGCAAAATTCCCATAGTCATAGACAGAAGTACTCTAGGCAAATAAGTTTTCTAAGTAGTTTGAAAGTTAGAGAAGGAATCTAGGCTGTTTAACTTATGAAGCTATCAAATTTTTATGGCATCAGGTGGGCCGGAGTGTCGACCCATGCACTTAAGGGTTGCCGGTTCCATTCACGGTCAGGGCCACATGCCTGGATTGCAGGGTTTGACCCCCAGTAGGGAGTATACAGGGGCAGGGGCAGCTGATCAATGTTTCTCTCCCCCTCCCCCCTTTCTCTCTCTAAACATGTCCTTGGGTGAGGATTAAAAAAACTTTATGGCATCAGCTTGCATACAGTATAAAATTTCTTATATAAGCCTGTGTGTAGGACCACAGAGAAAATATAAGTAGAATCTGAAAGTGGTAGAGAGAGGGCTAGGTATAGAAGGCAAAACATTTTATAGTTTATAGTACAACAAAGCCTTACAGAAAGCTGATGAGAAGAGTAAAGTTTGGGGACAGACATTTATTTAGTGGCAGAATCAGGACAAAAAACCATGTCTTCTGATTTCCTGTATAGAGTAATTTCTCTACTATATTATAAGTACTTTTAAAAAATCTTTTTCAAACAAGCTTTATAAAGACAATTTGGAAAGAAAGTGAGAAGTTAAACTGCTAAGTCATAAGTATGAGCTATTAATCTTTATCCAGGTTTCTCTCAGCTACTTATAACCAGGCCCAAGAATTTAGATTGTTCCCCTGTCCAATGAACTTACAAAAAGTCTGGAAACTTTGGCTAGAAATAAACAATAAAGATTTATTTAAGGGTTTTAGGGTTTGCAAACAAGGAAAACGACTAGGCAATACCCAGAGTGTTCCAAAGAAGGAAGGAAAGCTGAATTCTTACAGTCAAAAGTACATTCTTGAGAAGAATAAGTCCTGAATTCTTGGCCTCTGGATTGGAGATGGTAACCCTTTAAATGACTGGCAGTCTGGATAATGGATGTCAGGTGGTCTGGATATGTGAACAAGACTGGAAAGTTCAAAAGTTTAAGTTCCCAGGCTAGTTAGAACAAGAATAGAATCATCTATTCATGCCTCAACCTACTTGATTATAGTAATTTAGCAGCCTGACTATAGTAACTCCATTTTATTTCTTCACTTTATTTCTTTGCTCTCTAAAGTGGCTGTACCAATTTATATGATTACCAAAAGTATACATGAGAGTTCTGGTTGCTCTGCACCTTTACAGCATATTGTCAAACTTAAATATTTGCTGATCTGAAAGGTGTGGAAAGAATAACTGACTGTGATTTTAGTTTTTGTTCACTAATTGAGCATGTTTTCATACATTTATTGGCTATATGTGCTTTTTCTTTTCAGGTCTTTTGTCCATTGTTCTTATTGGGATGTGGATTGATCCATTTGGAATGTATTTTGGTGTAAAGAGTAAAACACAGCTTTGTGTTTTTGTTTTCCAGTTGGCTAGGCACTTGTTTTAACACAGGTGTATGCAGAGGCAACTAATTGATGTATCTCTCTCTCATTGATGTTTCTATCTCCCTTCCTCTCTCTCTAAAAATAAATAAAAACATTTTTAAATAAAGTCAGAGAAAATTCAAAATAACCATGTGAGATGTAATTTGCCCCTCTCAGACTGGCAAAATTTAAAGCCTGCCAGTATCAAGTGTCAGTCAGGATGTGCAGCAAATGGAACTCTCATACACTGCTGGTGATAGTATAAAAACTCAGTATAATTAAAGATTGAGAAATTAGACTACACTTAAAGTTCTTCTATGGGAGGAAAATGCCATAAACAAAATTAAAAGACAAAAATATTGCAACACTTATGACAAATTAGGAACTACTTTCTATATAAAGTTCTTATAAATCATTTAAAGACTATCAGGTAGAAAAAAATGGAGAAAAAGGAACAAGTGATTCACAGAAAAAAAGAAACGAGATGACTCAACCTCACTAATAATGAAAAATGCAAAGTAAAACCATCAGATTCTGTCTTTAATTATTTGCAAAGATAAAATAAGAGAATATTTGCTTATATAAGTAAAAAAAAAAAAATTGAAACAATAATAAAGGCCAGATAAAGATGAGTTATTAAGAGACTAAGAAAGCACTACTTGAGAAGTGGCTAAAAAGTCAAGATTATGAAGTCACAAAGCTCTGGAAGAGCTGATTGGTCGAGTATCAAATGTAGAGAAGTCAAGCGAGTTATGAACCAGAAATGTACTAATGTAAGTGAGAGACTGATGTGGACGTGGATGACTGAAGATTGCTGTTTAGGTCGAGTATTGGTGGTGGAAATTAAAGACTGAAGAGGAAGTAGGACGTGATCTAGATAAGGGCAATATGGCCCTGGTAGGTTTTATTTTGTTTTTTAAATAATCAGGTTTGAGCCTATTTAAATGCTGTTGAGCAAGACAGAGAGAAGCAAAGTGGTTAAGGGATGAAATTCAGAATATAGTGTAGAGATCATTGTGACAACAGGAGCGTAGGAGGAGAAAGAGCCCTGAAATGGATATCATGAGACCTAGTATTATTTCAATTCTTTGACACTTAGTTGCTTCATCTATAACAGGAGTTAGCAAACTTTCCATAAAAGGCAAGATAGTAAATATTTTAGTCTTTGTGGGCCATAATGTCTGTATCAGTTTATTCAGCTATACTCTTTGTAATATGAAAGCATCCATACAGTAGATAAAGGAATAGGTCTGTCTGTGTTGCATTAACTATGGACCCTTGAATATCACATAATTTTTAAGTGACATTAAATATTATTCCTGTTTTTTTTTTTGTCATTTATCTTGTGGGCCCTACAAAAGTAGGTAATGGACTGGATTTGGCCCACAAGCTGTATTTTGCCAACCCCTGATCTGTCAAATGAAAATTTGGACTAAAATATATATACACATAAAATATACACTTAGTGGACTTAATCTCACTAAGTGTGTATCATACGTATGATCTGATTTAACCTTTTGTTTATTAGAAGTAATTCTTAGTCTCAACTGTTTAGAACTCTCAAGAGCTTAGAATTTATGTGTTTGTGACTGAAGTTCCAAGAATATTATTTATTCATCATTTATTGTTCAAGAACTCTTTCCTGAGATTACTAGAAGAGGAATGATTTTTGTCATATGTGCATACCATAATTACAAAAATTTCATTCAGTAATTTAAAAATACTTATTTTTTACTTAAGTATATTTTGGGATGGAAAATAAATGGAAAATCAGTATTATATGGCACAAATAGAAGGTAATAGTAGCCCTGGCCAGTTTGGCTCAGTGGTTAGAGCTTCAGCCCGTGGACCAAAGGGTCTCGGGTTAGATTCCTGGACAAGGGCACAGATCTCTGTTGCAGACTTGATCCCCAGCCCTGGTCAGGGTGCAGGTGGGAGGCAAACAATTGATGTGTGTCTGTTACATTGATGTTTCTCTCTGTCTCTCTGTCTCTGTCTCTCTCCCCCTCCCCCTTCTTTTTCCCTCCCCTCCACTTTCTCTAAAAAATCAATGGAAAATATATCCTCAAGTGAGGATTTAAAAACACACACACAAAAACAAAAGATAATAATAAAAATAAGTTAAAACATAACAGTACTATTTGCCAGAAAATCCTGAAACTGAGGCATTGTTACTTGTTGTTAAAGAGAAAGCAAATTTTTAGAGATGTTAAAGGTAACAAGCTGATGAATGTAAAAGTTTGAAAGAAAAGTGAAAAAAACTTTGTCAGTAATGCTTCATATATCGACAGTCATCCTGAGTTGCCTTACATTCGAAAACCTTTTCATAACTGATAATAGTTAAATCTTATTAATAGAACTCTAGAGTTCTCTTAAGTTCAGTTGAAATAAAAGTAGTTTTGTTTTTATTTCTACTGATGATTGTATACCTTTGTGTGCAGTAGGTATAGATCATGATTGAAGAGTTTTTTGTCATAAAGTCATTTTAATAAATTATTCTCCCTTTTCCCCCTTACAAAACTACCAGGTGACTATGGCAGTGTTGGTAGTTATCTGGAGCTGGTAGGTCTTAAGTGTATTCTTATTAGGAGTCAACACCACTAGTGTCTATTAATGTGGCTAGATGAGAGAAAGACTGATTTTCTTTTTCTAAAGATGTCTCTGTCCTTTCCCTATTCTGATCCACGATTGATTGGGAGATTGCAAGATCACCTTTCATGAAGGGAGGTGGAGTGGAAAATTCTTTATGAACCTTCAGTAGAATCTTATCCTTTATGATCCTTCTGTGGACTTTTGCCAGCTCTTACTTTGGATTGTGATGTAATGTTTGAGCTAAGCAGTTGATAGATAACAGGAGGCCTATGAACTGTATTATGAAATGGTATGAAAAATACATGTTTACGCATAGGTGGGCTCCATAGCTTTCCTTTGACACCCAATATGAGTTCTACTTGAAAGGTTAAGAATCATTCAATGTGGAGGAGAGAAGAGGGGTTGGGAAAAGAAGGGAGGAGGGAGGAAAAGGAATTTGTTATTACTAGTATGATAATATATAATGTCTTAAACCATTTGTAGAGTGATAACTTAGGAACAAGAGTCAATGAGTGACTGTTTTAGGCCATCAGTTGTTGGGTTAACCATGCAATAATAGTTGGCTTACAACTTTCGTAAGTTTCTTCCAAAACCAGAGATTCTGATTTAGATAATATTGTCTATTCACAGAGGTGTCCAGTAAAAATACTGTAAGAAGTAGAGTATTTGGCAAGAATTTTACCAAATGTTAGTAAAAAAGTAAAAAAAAAAAATTGGTATTTGATAGTTATTAAGCTTTCAGGAGCACAGAAGCTTTTTCTTACCCAATTACAATTACATGAATTACAAGGAAAAAGTCTATTAGAAACTCTAAAGTAAATATTTAACCTTGCAAATTGAGATTGAAACCTGTTGTGAGTGTGACCAAGAATATAGCTTTATTTAATTACATGTAAGAACTTTTAAATGATTTTACTGCCATTGCCACTTGTATATTTATTAACTTTTTGCTTAATAACTTTGGATTGATTTTAGGCCGCCAAAAAAATGGAAATGAAAGAGATTGCTAAATACAAAACACTGTGGAAAATGAATTCAACCAGTGAATCTTTTTTAGTTACTGGTGCAAAAGACAATCCTTTGAAGAAATTTACCATTCCCAAGATCAGGAGGACAGCTGGGAAAGGTAATATTTCTATGGAAGATGGGGTTATTTCATAACTATTACTCTATTTCTCTGCTTCTTAGTTTATGTTTATCTTCTATTTTGACTATAAAATTAGCTTAAGGAAGGCCTTTAATACCTTAAACACACATGTACTTTTGGTTGCACACAAAATGAAATAGACATGTCTCCTGTCCCTCCCACTAAGTACACCTAAAAATACTGGACATCATACATAAAACAAACATACGAAGACTTCAAAAGGTGGAGAGATGACGACAGACTGGCTAGGGACCCTGAGACTCAAGGAATGACATAGCAGTAAGTTCTCTGGATTTTATTTTCATTTCCTCCCTATCTCAGATGGTATGCCCACAACCCAGGAATGCCAATTGTCATAGACCAAAAAGCCCCAAGAAAAGTCTGGTTTTTTGCCAAGGACTGGGAAAGGGACCTCCTAGAAAGATAGAAGCCTATTTGACAATAAACACCCTGCTCCTGCAAAACAGTGTGGGGGGGAGGCACAGCCCCTGCACCCTTGTCAGCAAAGGTGACTTCCACCTATGTCTGTCCCCTTCATGGCAGTAACAAGTTCTCCTCCCTGCCATCCCCTGCCCTTGCAGTGTCAGTGGATTTCCACCCCTCCCCTGTGGTGATGAATCGATCCTTCTCTCTGGGAGAAGAGCCAGTAAAGACCAAGTGGGGAGTATAGAAATCTATTACACCCACCTGTAACAAGGCGTATGTCCCCCTCCAATACTGTTAGTGGAAGCTGAGTAAGAAAGTGGACTTCCACCCCTTTATCATGGTACCAAGGCATCCCCCCAGGGCATCAGTGGAGACCCTGTGGAAAGCAAGGACTTCAGCCCTGCCTGATGGTGAAGAGTTGACACCCCTCCCCCTTACTGGCACACTTTAGTCTACCAGGTCAGTTTTAGTAGAGGATTGTTGAAACACAAGATTAAATGTGACCCAGAGTCTCTTGACAATACTTCAGTGACCAAGATGTAATTTTTTTTAATCCTCACTTGAAGATATGTTTATTGATTTTTTTTAGAGAGAGGAAGAGGGAGAGAGTTGTTTTTTAGAGAGAAAAAGGGGGGGAGAAAGAGAAACATTGATGTGTGAGAGAAACATTGATTGGTTGCCCCTTGTATGCGTCCCAACTGGGGACCGAACCCACAACCTAGGTATGTGCCCTGACCGGGAATTGAACCCCTGACCTTTTAGTGTACAGGGTGATGCTCCAACTGAGCTACACCAGCCAGGGCCAAAATGTAATTTAAATATACTTATCTTACTTATCACCCAGGAAAATCTCAACTTGAATGAGAAAAGGTAATCAACAGATGCCAACACAATGATGAAACAAATATTGAAATTCTCTGACAAGGCTTTTAAAGCAGCCATCATAATGATGTTTCAACAAGCAATTATAAACACTCTTGAAACAAATAAAAAACATAGAAAATCAGGAGAGAAATGGGAAATGTAATGAAGAACCAAGTATAAGTTTTGGAACTGAAAAATATAATAATTTATATAAAAATTTGTTTGGATGGAGTCTAGAGAAGAATTGTGAAGACATTGGGAAAAATCATCAAATTTGAATATAGAGCAATAGAAATTACTCAGCCTGAACAATACAGAGAAAACAAAAAATTTAACAGAGCCTTAGGCAACTGTGGAACAATAATAATAGATCTAACACCTTTGTCCTTGGAATCCCAGAAGTAGAAGAGAAAGAGTGTGGAGCTGAAAAAGTATTTAAAGAAATATTGGCTGAAAATATCCCAAATCTGGCAAAAGGCATAAACCTATACATTCAGAGGGCTGAACAAATCCTAAACAGGATAAACCCAAAGTAGTCCATGCCACAGCACATCATAACCAAACTTCTGAAAACTACAGAAAAAATCTTGAAACTTGAGAGAAACTGCATGTTATCTATAGGAGAAAAATTATTTGACAGTTTATTTCTCATTAGAAACTATGGAACCCAGAGGAAATGGCACAGCATTTTTCAAGTGTGGAAAGAAAAGAACTGTCAACCCAGGATTCTGTCCCCAGCAAAACATATCCTTCAGGAGTAGAACTAAAATAGACATTCTCCAATAAAGTAAAACTGAAAATTTTCATCAGCAGATCCACCTTAAAAGAACAGCTAAACAAAGTTCTCCAAACAGAAAATGACAAAAGAGAGAAGCTGCGAACATTAAGAACAAAGGAAGAACAATAGAAAGAGTAAAAATATAGAGAAATATAGATCATTCTCCTCTTGAGGTTTCTAATTATATTTGACAGTTGGATCAAAAATTACAGCATTTTCTATAGAGAATGAGAAACATAGGCATAAAGAAATAAAATGGCAATAGATAAGTACCTATCAATGATAATCTTAAATATAAATGTAATAAACACTCCAATCAAAGGACATAGGATAGCTGAATGGATAAGAAAACAAGACTCAAAAAACAAATACATGCTGTCTACAAGAGAACCACCTCAGAACAAAACTCACACAGGCTGAAAAAAAAACAAAAAACTTCTGGAGGACTTTAAAGGAGAGATTGACAGCAATGCAGTCATAGTAGGGGACTTTAACGCCCCACTGACTTTACTGGATAGATCTTCCAGACAAAAAATCAACAAGGAAACAGTGATTCTAAATGACACACTAGATCAGATGGATTTAATTGATATTTACAGAACATTTCACCCCAAAGCTGCAGAATATACATTCTCCTCAAGTGCACAAGGGACATTCTCAAAGGTAGACCACGTGTTAGGACACAAAACAAGTCTCTACAAGTTCAAGAAGATTGAAATCATATCAAGCATCTTCTCAGACATTTACACCAGAGAGTACTATGCGGCTGTAAAAACCAGGGATCCTTTACCCTGACACAACATGGTGAGATGTGAAAAGTATTATGCTAAGCAAAATAAGCCAGTCAGAGAAAGACAAGTATCACATGATCTTACTCATATGTGGAATATAATGAACAAAATAAACCGATGAACAACAACAAAATTATAGCATTTTCTGACTTATTCTCAGTGAATATAGAGGAAGTATTTAAGACTATTATAAAGCAAGATGTTAACCATTGGAGGAAACTGGATAAATGGGATATAGGATCTTTCTGCACTATATTTTACAACTACTTGTGAATCTACAGTTATCTCAGAATTAAAACTTTTTAATAAAAATTATAAATAAAAATGGAATTTAAAAAATGTCCAAGTAACCCATAGGAATGCAGGAATATGAAATAGAGAATTAAACAGCTGAGGGAAAAATAAACAATTAAATGGCAGGTTTAAGCCTTAACATATCAATTATATTAAATGTAAATGATCTAAATATACTTTTAAAAGTCAGAGGTTGACACAGTGAATTAAAAAAATGTGACTCAACTATATACTGTCAATAAATTCACTTCACATACAGTGCTACAGGCTGGTTGAAAATAAACACATGGAGAAATACAGGCTATGCAACCAATCAAAATAAAGTAGGAGTGGCTATATTAATATCAGATAAAGTAAACTACAGAGGGATGAAAATGATCAGGAACAAAGGGGGATATTACATAGTGATGAAAGGGTCAGTCCACTAATAATAACAATCCTAAATGTGTATTCACCAACCAACAGAACTTCAAAATACATAAAGCAAAATTGATAGAACTGAAAGAAGAAATGGACAAATCCAGAAGCTATAGTTAATTACTTTAGCTTTCCTCTCTCAACAATTGATAGAACTAATATAGAAAATCAGCAAAGACATTGAAGAACTAAACAGTGTCAACCAACAGGATCTAACTGACATTTTTACATTACCCAACAACAGCAGAGTAGACATTTTTAAGCTGCCATTTGATACTCAAGATAGTATGTTGGGCCATGAAACATATTTCAACATATTTAAAGGAATTAAAGTCACACAAATATGTTCTCAGACCACACGCAAATTAGAGATTGATGTTTCTAAATATTCATGAGATTTCAAGAGAAATTAAAAATAAATTGGACTGAATAAAAATGAAAATGCAACATCAAAATTTGAGGGACAGAGCATCGCTCACAAATTTATAGCACTAAATACTTACATTAGAAAATGGGAAGGGTTTCAAAACAGTAATCTAAGGTTCCACCTTAAGAAATTAGAAAAAGAATAACATACGATAAACCCAAAACAAGCATAAGAAAGGAAAATCTCAAGTACTTGGTTATTTTGTGTCATAGATCAGATATGCAATTGTCATTGTACAAGGATATCATTTTAAACACAAATAAACCACTTGTCCTTTTCTTTATCTTTAGTTTACTTGTCACCTTGTTTCACCAATACTAGAGAGTATAGTTTCATACATGATACTCTTAACCAGTGCCGGCTTGATGTAAAGTGTGATCTACAGTCGTCATGGCAGTTTGGGGATACAAAACTGGTTCACAATGAGGATCTGGAAAAAAATTTTACTTCTAAGAGGTAAGTTACTATGGCCTAAAGAAGTTTGAGATTTCTTTTTGTTTGTCTTTACTGTGAAGTCTTGTATGAATTTGTTGTTTCTACCATTTGAGGTTTGATAAATATTACTGAGAAAATAAGAACAGATTTTTATTCATTATTTTGTTGCCTTCTTACAGCCTTTTGTAATAGTGAAAAGCTAAATGTGAGATTTGATTAGTAAGTTTTATACATTAACTAGCCAGATTTCAGACACTCCTAACTTTTTAATCTTGATAAATTTTTCAAAAGCATACGTCAGCACATTCATTAAGCACCAATTTTGTACATACCTTGTGCCTTCTGCTGTATAAAACAGCAGTTAAAATATTTATAAAGTAACTTTTCTTAACCCTTCAGAGAGTGAGTTGATGTTTTTATTAGGCAGGATTATATCTGGCTATTTCTAACTATTACTCTAGAAGCACTATTTTTGACACTCAGTTTTTAAAAAGTGCACCTTCTCCTCTTTGGGAAGGCACTTTTCCATTGTTATTTTGATAAGAACCACAGCTCAGATCATATGTTTCATGCAGCTGTGGTTTGGAGGGAAACTGTACAAAAAAAATCAGGATATTGGAGTGCTTTTGCCCATGTTCTGCTTAGATCCAAGAAGCCTTTAAAATTCAGATTTGGTCAGAAAGAGCCTTTCTGCTTGTGGCCTAGTTTCACAGATCAGCTTTACAAAATTAGCTTTGTGGACGAAAAGGGGCCACATGCTCACCTGACTAGCTCAGGGAAGGCCTGCATGGCGGCCTTGCAAACTCGGAGACCTAAAGTAACCACAAAGCATGGCCTGAAATTAAAACTCTTTTTTTTAATCCTCACCTGAGGATATTTTTTCCATTGCTTTTCAAAGAGAGTGAAAGAGGGAGAGAGAGAAACATCAGTGACTGGTTGCCTCCCACAGGTGCCCTGACCAAGGTCCAGGATCAAGTCTGCAACCAAGGTACATACCCTTGGTCAGAATTTAACCTGGGACCCTTCAGTCTGCAGGCCAACATCCTTGGCCGGAATTGAACCTGGGACCCTTTAGTCCATAGGCCGACGCTCTAACCACTGAGCAAAACGGGCTAGGGCTGAAATTAAAACTTTTTAACTAAAAGCATCCCTGACAAACATCAATCTTTACCTTAACTGAGCCTGTCTGTTGTCTTTTTGCATCTTCAGTAACACATCTTTGGACTGTCAAAGTAATTTTCTTTTTTCCAGACTCCTCAAAACACAGGCACCGCTCTACTCTGTGAGACCACAAATCCCCTCATTGTTATTGAGTTAATTGTTGACTATTAACTATCCTGCACCCACCTAAGTAAAAGAAGTATGTCTATCATTTTACTTCTAATCCAATCCCAGAGGTGTCCCCACGCTTTCTCCCGCCTCCCTAATTTATCACCAATGGACTTTATGTAACCCACTTTCATCTCCTTTTTTAATTGTAATGTATAAAACAAAGTACAAAACTGCCATTCTCAGGAACATTATCTCAATCTGTTGAGATTCTGCTTCCCAGCATGTGTAGACTGTTGGCTCAAATAAACTCACAAAAATTCTTCACAGATTTGAATGTTTCTAACACTTTACAGCTTGAAGGAAAGAATTTTTTCCAGTATTAATGTGAATGGGGTTTAAATGGAGAGATTTAATGGGAGGCAAGTATGGCACAAAGCACAAATATATTGCCTTCTACCTTTCCCAAATACCTCCTTTTGTGCACCTTCCACCTGGTAAGTGGAACTACAAGTTTTTATAGTAAAGATATATTTTAAATGCAATCTGGGGGAAGAAACTGATTTATCAAATTGGAATATACTAGGTAAGGGTAGCTCCAAATTCAGGGCCTTGGGGTATGGAAAGGTTTGGGTCTTGTTGCCAATAGACAAATTACTAATCACAGCCATTGTCTAAACAAGATTTTGCTATGGTTACTAGCCTTTGGAATTTTGAGTGTGAAGAATTCTAACTAAGTGCTAAGTAAGGGCCAGTTAACACTGACCATTTTTGTGTCATTCTTCAGTGTTCCAAATTTAATTGTTGTCTCCACAATGTATTTTGGGTGATAACTTAATTTTGTAACCATTTATTGCCTAATATTGACTATATGGATCTATATCCACACCTGTTGAAATGAAAGCATATTACTCACATTATGGATCTGAAGTTAGCAGCAACAACTGGATGAGATTTTGGGTTATTCCCATTTGTGAACTGAATCGAAGGTGTTTGGTGTGGGCATGAGCATTTTTTAAAGTGTTGGAAGAAGAGTGTGTATAAAGAGTAATCAAATGAGTAGACTATAATTTCTCTAATAATTCTAAATCATCTTACATACTTAGACTAAGCTATTCTTTATCCCATTCCCTTTACCTTTATTGGCTTACTGATGTCAAGCCTAGTCAATACTGATGTGTTAAACAAGAACTTTCACTGTTGAACTTTTCTTAAGAAGAAAGGGTTTATTGAGCCAGTGCTAGCCAGAAAAAGACCAGGTCCTGGGGCATAAAGTCTAAACCTCTAAGCAGCAGGGCTGGATGGAGAAAACAACAGTGTCTGCGGTCCTGGAGTTGATGGGCCTTTTAATATATCAGGTAGGCAAAAGAAAGATTTAAGTTGTTTTGGAAGTTGTATGAGGGGGATTCAGCCTGACTTTGCTGGATTTAAAGATGGAGGAAAGGTGTAATGGACCAAGGAAAACATAACTTCTGGAATTTGACAACAGCCTTCAGCCAATAACCAGCAAGGAAATTGATGTTAGTCCTCCAACTCTAAGTAACTGAATTCTGCGAGCAAGAAGATAGATCCTCCCTTAGAGCCTGAGAAAGGAACATAAGTCCAGATGATACCTTGATTTTAGCCTAATGAGACCCATATTGGGCTTATGACCTACATAACTGTAAGATAATGAACTTGGTTTAAATCCACTACATTTCTGGTAATTTTTTACAGCAACAATAGAAAACTAATACACTATCTTACATCTGGACCTTTTGTGTGAGTTAGGAAATTTCCTTTTTTTACACCTTTTTAAAAATATAATTGATATATAAGTTTATGGTGTACAATGCTATGATTTGATGCATGCAAAATGTTTTACTACAGTGAGGTTAGGTAACACATCCTTTACCTCACCTAATTACCATTTTGTTGGTATAATGAAAACATTAAAGTTCTCTCGAGGATATGTTTTTCTTTTAATTTTTCACTCGAGGATATGTTTCTATTCTAGAGAGAGAGGAAGGGAGGAGGAGACAGGGAGAAACATTGATTGGCTGCCTCCCATATGTACCCCAACTGTCGGGGGTCAAACCCACAACCTGGGAATGTGCCCTGACTAGGAATTGAATCCTCAGCCTTTCAGTGTGTGGGATGATACTTCAACCAACTGAGCTACACTGGCCAGGGCTAAAGCTCTATTCTTATAGCAACTTTCAAGTTTACAATACAATATCGTTAACTATAGTTGCCATGCTATAACTTGGATCCTGAGAACTTACATCTGAAAGCCTGTACCTTCACGAACATCTTCCCTGTGCCCCTACTCCTTAGGCCCTCACATCCACCATTGTACTCTGTTTCTGTGAGTTGGATGTTTTTAGATTTCACGTATGAGATCATAATGGTATTTTTCTTTCTCTTTCTGATTTATTTCACTTAAAATAATGCCCTTAAGATCCATCTATGTTGTTGAAAATGGAAGGATTTCCTTTTTTATGGCTGGATAATATTTCATTGTATATATACCACATTATCTTTTATCAATTCATCTGTCGATGAACATGTAGGTTATTTCCAAGTCTTGGCTATTGTTAATAATGCTGAAATAAACATGGGAATGCAGATATTTTTTTGAAATGGTGAATTCATCTCCTATCCTTTAGATACATACTCAGAAGTGGGATTGCTAGATCATATGGTGGTTCTATTTTTCTTTTTTTTCCCTAAGGAATCGCCATACTCTTTTCCACAGTGACTATACCAATTTATATTCCCACCAACAATGTGTGAGGGTTCCCTTTTCTCTGTAACCTTACCAGCACTTGCTATCTTGTCATTTTGAGAATATCCATTCTAACAGGTGTGAGATGATACCTTATGGTTTTGATTTATAACTCACTGATGATTAGTGATGTTGAACACCTTTTCATGTACTTGTTGGCCATAAGTAAATTTTCTTTGGAAAAATGTTTATTCAAATTCTCTGCCCATTTTAAATCAAATTGTTTGTGTTTTGCCATAGAGTTGTATGGATCCCTTACGTGTTTTGGATATTAATCAGATATATGGTTGACAAATATTTTCCCCCAATTCTGTTTGTCTTTTCCTTTTATCAGTTGTTTCTATTTGCTGTTCAAAAGCATTTTAGTTTGAGGTACTCCTACTTGTTATTTGCTTTTGTTGTTAGTGCTTCTGATGTCATATCAGAAATAAAAAATACATTGGAAGGAATAAACAGCAGATTAGGGGAAGCTGAGGATCAGATCAGCAAATTAGTAGACAGGGTAGAAAAAAATCAATCAGAAAACCAAAAAAAAAAACAGGGTGCTGGGGGACAACATGAAATGTAACAATATTCATCATAGGAGTGCCAGAAGGTGAAGAAAGTGAGCAAAGGATAGAGAACCTGTTTGAAGAAATAATGGCAGAAAACTTCCCTAACCTGGTCAAGAAAAAGTCACACAAGTTCAGGAGGCACAGAGAGTCCCAAGCAAGAAGAACCCAAAGAGGCCCACACCCATACACATCATAATTAAAATGCCAAAAATTCAAGACAGGGAGAATCTTAAAGGCAGCAAGAGAAAAGGAATCTGTTACCTACAAAGGAGCTCCCATAAGGCTGTCAGCTGATTTCTCATCAGAAACTCTACAGGCCAGAAGGGAATGGCATGAAGTATTCAAGGTAACGCAAAACAAGAATCTGAAACTAATACTATCTAACAAGGCTATCATTCAAAATAGATGGTGAAATAAAGAGCTTCCCAGACAAAAAAAAAAAAAAGGCTAAAGGAGTTTATCACCACCAAACCAGCATTGCAAGAAATGTTAAAGGGACTGCTGTAATAAAAAGTAGAAATAGAAGGAGAGAGAAACATAGTCATAATAAATTAAAATGGTAACAGGTAAGCACCTATCAATAATAACCTTAAATGTAAATGGATTAAATGCTTCAATCAAAAGACATAGGGTAGTTAAATGAATAAGAAAACAGGACCCACATATATGCTGTCTATAGGAGACCCACCTCAGAACAAAAGACTCACACAGGCTGAGAGTGAAGGGATGGAAAAAACTTTCCATGCAAATGGAAATGAAAAAAAGGAAAAGCTGGGTTAGCAATACTCATATCTGACAAAACAGACTTCAAAATGAAGGCCATAACAAGAGACAAGGTCACTACATAATACTAAAGGGATCGACCAAACAAGAGGATATAACCCTGGTAAGCATATATGCACCCAGTATAGGAGCACCTAAATACATTTTTTAAAAACTTCTGGAGGACTTTAAAGGAGAGATTGACAGCAATACAGTCATAGTAGGGGACTTTAACACCCCACTGACTTTACTGGATAGTTCTTCCAGGCAAAAAATCAACAAGGAAACAGTGATTCTAAATGGCACACTAGATCAAATGGATTTAATTGACATTTACAGAAGATTTCACCCCAAAGCTGCAGAATATACATTCTCCTCAAGTGCACAAGGAACATTCTCAAAGTTAGACCACATGTTAGGACACAAAACAAATCTCTATAAGTTCAAGAAGATTGAAATCATATCAAGCATCTTCTCAGGTATTTACACCATGAAATACTATGCAGCTGTAAAAAAGAAGGATCTCTTACCCTTTGGGACAATATATACGGAACTGGAGAGATTTATGCCAAGTGAAATAAGCCAGTCAGAGAAAGACAAGTATCACATGATCTTACTCATATGTGGAACCTAATGAACAAAATAAACCAATGAACAAAATAGAACCAGAGACATAGAAAAATGGAACAGACTAAATCTCAGAAGGAAGGCAGGGGTGGGAGGTTGGGTGGGGAGAGATTAACCTAAGAACTTATATGTATATATGCTTAGCCCATGGACACAGACAATAGTGTGGTGAAGGCCTGGGGGGGGGGGCAGATGCAGGGTGGAGGGGATCATTGGGGGAGAAAAAAAGGGGTATCTGTAATGCTTTCAACAGTAAAGATAAAACAAAAAAAGAATGTAGATTAGATTGTAATCTTTTCTGAGGATGATTTATCTTACTACTAAGATAAGAGTCTGTAATCAAATTGTCACTTATTTCTCCCTGCTATTATCTAGATCCCTGAAGAATGGAATTCCCTAATAATTGACCATATATATGTGTATACATATGTGTCTCTATATATGCATATCCTTTCCTTCATAACACAAATAAGAATTTGAGCTCTGGAACTTAATGGACAAAGTTGGCATATACAATTCCAACTGTGTCACTTTGCTACTTGGCAAGGTTCAACTCTTTGAACATCATAGCCCTCATTTTAAAAATGTGTATAACAGCCCTGGCTGGTGTGACTCAGTGGTTAGAGCGTCTGCTCAAGCACCAGAGGGTCTGGGATTGGATACCTGGTCAAGGGCACGTACCTGGGTTGCAGGTTTTATCCCCGGCCCTCGTTGGGGCTTGTGAGGGAGGCAACCAATTGATGTGTCTCTCTCACATAGATGTTTTTCTCCCCCTCTCTCTTTCCCTCCCTTCCTTCCACTCTCTGAAAAGCAATGGAAAAAATGTCCTCAGGTGAGGATTTTAAAAAATATGTATAATAATAACATAATAACAATAGCAACTCAATTTGGGGGAAGTTGAGCACGAAATTTAAAAATGCATGTAAAGGTTAAGTCTTAACAGTGTTGGGCATATTAGCAACATTCAGGAAATGTTAGCCCTTATTAATACTGGCTTAAACAAAATATAGTTCATAATTCTGCACAAGTAACTATCTAACTCCTTCTTGAATTTCTTCCTTAGATGATTTTCAGCCTAACTTGTTTCCATAGGACGCTGTCACCCCTGAATGTTATCAATAATTGTCTTGTTTTCTCACTGTAGTAAGTGGAAATATTTATTTTCTACTCTAAAATTCTGTTAATATTCTTATTTAACTACATGTTGTTTGTTTTGCTTTAGGTCAGAGATGCGTGAGAATGGAAGACATGGCAGAGAACTAGAAGAACATTTCTGCTTTTTAGCACTTCCTCAGAGTGATGTAGCTGAGATATATAAGAACGGGATAAGTACCAAATCATCTACATTGAAGATATTAGGAAATCCTCTTCTTGGAATTTATATATTTAAACATGTTGATGTTGCTTTGAATTATGCTCATAGTAGAAGCAGTAATGTAGAAAGTATTATAATTTTTAAGGTAGGTAGCCTAAAACAAATATTAAATATTCAGTTTGTTTTAAATTGACCTGAACATATGAATTATTATTAGTGTTTTTAAGTTACCTTATGTAAAACAAGTAATAATTATATTTACTACTGTCATTATCATTATGATCATTCAAAATTTCCTCCCATCTGACTCTAATAGGCTGGGCAGCATAAACCAAAACTCCAAGTAAGCAAAGGCAGGCATTACCATCTTTGTCTTCCCAGTGTATATTTTTTTCTGTCCTAATTGACCCTCTTTCTTTCTTTTGTTCAGACCATAATTAATGTCAGAGTATTTTAAGTGTCCTTCAAAACATTGGTTATAATTATTCTGACTTAAGCTAAAGTTATTAAACTCTTAATGTTTATTTTAGTTAAGAGTATTATACACTGCTAATTTTTTAGTTTTGATCATTTTGCCATGCTTATGTAACATGTTAACATTAGGAAAAGTTGGCTACAGGTATATGGGACCTCCGAACTATTTTTCAACTTTTCTGATGGTCCAAAATTATCAAAATAGTCTTATAGTCAAATTTTAAGCAACAACAAATTGGTTAAGATACACTTTTTGGGCGCAGCCAGGCATGGCTTAGTGGCTGAACATTGACCTAGGATCCAGGAGATCACAGTTCGATCCCCGGTCAGGGGTGTGCAAGAGGCAGCCGATCAATGACGACTCTCTCATCATTGATGTTTCTCTCTCTCTCTCTCCCTTCCTCTCTCTCAAATCAATAAAGATATACTTAAAAAAACAAAAAAGATACACTTTTTGGTTAATTGCAGCTTTGCCAGGATTACTAAAATCACAGAAGCTAGTCAGAATGCTCAGTTGTGTAATTTAGGATGTGTGTATATTCATGTAAAATCATTGGTTCATTTGATATAATTTCTTACATTTTTAGACTTCAAATGCTACCAAATTCATAAAGCATAATTTATTTTTATATTAAAAAGTAATACATACTAATTTTAGAAAAATTGGAACATACTAAAAAGTTCTAGAAAGCTCATTAATAACCACAGATACTTTTACTATACTTAGTAAAAGTACTTAGCCTTATTACTTAGTCCTCTGTTCATCTATATGGATATGTATGTATAAATGTAATTAAAATCTATTTTTACTTTATATGCTATGTAACTTGCTTTTTTCATTGATTATAAAATGAACATTTCCATGTCATTAAATAAGTAGTCTTCTGTAACAGCCTTTTGACTGACTGCATAGTATTCCACTATACAGCTCTACCATGAATTTGTGTGATAAATTTTTTAATGTTGGGGCATAAGTTATTTGTTTTTTTGTTTTTGTATTTTTAAATACTACTTTAATCATCCTTGTATGTACATTTTTACACACACCTATGATTATTTACTAACAATTGGTTAATTTTTAGGTGTCAAATTAGGAGTCAAAGGTATATATACTTTTACAACCTTTTCTATGTAATTCCCAGTTGTCTTGAGAAAGGTTGACATTTTTATCTGCAGCATGTGGGAATGTCTGTCATCTCACACCCTAACTAACTGTGTATTATGCTTTAAAAAAAACTCCTTGCCACTCTAATATGTGATAGTTTTTCATTGGTTCAGTTTTTTCTGAACATTTCGCATATATTCGTTAACAATAATTAGGGAATTGCTTGTTAATGTTCTTTGCCATTTTCTTTTTTCCTAGTTATTTGTAAGCATTATCAATTTATTAAAGCATATTTTAAGAGCTAAGCTTTTCTCTGTATAATATTCTATCAATGTTTTCATTTTTTCAAGTAAACCTTTTATTTTGGAATAAATTTAAATTTATAGAAAAGTTACAAAAGTAATACAGACCGTTCCTGTATACAATTCACCCAGCTTCCCCCAATGTTAACGTTTCACATAACTGTGGCACATTTGTCAAAACTAAGAAACTAACATTGTGTATGTCAATTATATCTCAATTAAAAATAATAAAAAGAAAAGAAACTAATATTAGTACAGTACTGTTAACTGAAGTACAGACTGTATGCAGTTTTTGCCACTTTTTCCACTAATGTTTTTCCCTTCCAATATCCAAATGTAGTAGGATTCCACATTACATTTAGTATTGTTTTTAATTTTGAGTGACTGTATTAGCATGTTAAAAAAATAACAGTAGAATTGCTAACTTTAAATAAAATGTGGACTTGTTTTCATATTAATTCCATTTTCTTCGTCAGTGTATTTTATCACTTAATTATGTTCATTTTTTAATTTGACACTTATTTAGTTAGTTAATCCTTACCTGAGGATATGTTTTTATTGATTTTAGAGAGAGAGGAAGTAGGGGGAGATCAGTTGCCTCCTGTACGCACCCCGATTGAACCTGAAACCTAGGTATGTGCCCTGAAAAATTGTGGAATTGAACCCACAATTTTTTTGGTGCACAGGGCAATGCTCAACCAAGATACCTGGCAAAGGAATACTCCTTTATTTTTTATGTACAGTTTTCAAATATTTTACAGTGTAGTCTATGTTTTTGGTTCATGGTTTCTTCGCACACATGCTTAGAAAGAATTCTCTCTTTGAGATGAGATAAAGATTTGCTGATATTTCTTTCTATAATGTTTGCATTACATAAATATATAACTTATCTGGTATTTATTTTGCTTTATAGATTAGAAAATAATTTATTTTTTCAGTTTTACATATTTATTAATCTGTTTTTGCTTCACTCATTTCCAATGGCACTTTAATATTATACAGTATTTTTATAGATGCTTGGACTTATGTGGGCTTTTTATTTTTTTTCAGTTTTCTCTCCCCTGTCTGTCTTTTCTTGTAGGAGTTCTATTCTTTTAAAAAGTATTCAATATCTGGAAGTGCAAGTCACCTGTTCTGTTCCATCATTCTCTATCTCTGACTGAAAATTTTTTTCAAAAAAAATTAGCAAAATTTTCTGAGGTATTCTTGTTTGTTTAATCTTCCAGATAAGTTTTTAGACTAAAACTCATTTCTAAAAACAGATTTTCTGAAATTTTTATTGGAATTACTATAGTCTTAGACTTTAATTTGAGGGAAACTGACATAAGTACAATAAGTCATCTCATTTATCTGGTACGTGGATTATTTCTTCCTTCATAGTTCTTTTTTTAAAAAAGAACTAGCTTCACAACTCTGTGTATCTGAAAGTTTAAAGTGTCTTGGTGTATTTTTATGGACCTTCTTTTTGCCTTTTTTTTTTTTTTTTTTTAAGGTTCTCTTTGGAAAAGTGAAGAAAATTCAGCCTTCAGTGGATAAAAACAAAGTTTCTTTGGATCCTTCTCCTAACTTTGATTGCCATATGTCGAGAAACACGCCTTCTCTGAAAGATACCATTGAGCTACAAGCCTACAGTTCAGCAGTATGTTAACATTTTAGTTCATTTGACTACTTGAAGGTCTCATGGTTCACATTGTATGATACAAGACTTAAAATAACTTCCCAAAATACTAAAGGAAAATCCCTTAACTCATTCAATATAATATGACCTTAAATAAATAAATAGTGAAAGATGTTTTAATACTTACCTGAGAATTTTAGTAGAAAGGTTTTCAAATTTGTATTTAACTTTGTTCAAAGTACAGTGTCTGCTTTTTTTTTTTTAATCCTCACCAAGGATATACTTCATTGATTTTAGAGAGAAGGGAAGGAGAGAGAGAGAAATATAAATAGCTTGCCTCATGTACCCACCCTGACCGGGGATTGAATCTGTAACCTAGGCATGTGCCCTGAATGGGAATTGAACCTGCAGCCTTTCAGTATATGGGTCAATGCTTCAAACAATTGAGCCACTAGACCAGGGCAAAGTACAGTGTCTGCTTTTATTTAGATGTTCCATAGATTAATTTCTGTCTTGCAAAGCATGCAAACGTTTTTTAAGCAAGGCTATTTTGAAATAATGTTATTGATCCTTTGTATTTTACAAAAGGAGAAATGACTTTTATATTGGTCATTACATGTGAAACTATCATTTTCTGTCATGTGTTGCTGAGACAGTAGACCTTTAACCTATTGAAGATTATATTATAAATAATACATATTATATATAATCATATATATGATTAAATGAAGCTAAACCTTCTAGAAATATATATATGCCCCCACATGTAAAATGCATTAAGCTATGGGTATTTTCCTAATTAGCTTTTCCAACCAAATAAAATATAGTATAGTATTTACAGCATATGCAAAACATTAAACTTTTAATGGAAAAATACTTTTTAAACTTAAAAACAGATTGTGTTTGCTTCTGCTAACATTGGTAGCCTACCAAAGAAAAAAATATGTGGTAGGTAAAAAAAATTCGTACATCTTCCAAAAAAAAAAAAAAAAAGGTTGAAGAAAGCAGGAAGGGGGTGGATATGGAAACATGAATAAACAACATCGTGCAGTTGCATAGTTTTTTTAAAATATGAGCTTATTCAAGTCTTAAAATTAATCAGCATAAAAATGTTCTTTTTCTTCTTTATCTTTCAGGTATACTTCTATGAATACAATGTTTTTTCAGATCCTGTAGATAAACCTAGGCAGTGTCTTCCATATGCAGTAGTAACAGTAAAATTTATTGGTCAAAAACTAGGTAATGGACACCACCTTATGACATCTTTGAGATTCCTCTCAACAGGATTTCCTAAGAGGGCTGGTAAGATACATATATTATTCTACTTCAGTAGTTAGTATTTGTGCTAGTCTTACAACTTCTGGATATTATTTTCTAATACATTATGAATCTCTAAGCAAAATGGTTGTTGTGCTTTACCTATTTTCAATTTTCTGTATCTAAAATTATATTGCAGATATATTTGTGACTTCTTTTGCTCAGTATATTTGTGTTAATTCTTCCATGTTGATGTATAACTGTAGTTTCTTCATTTTCATTCATATATACGTGTACACACACACATTATTCCATTTTCTGACTGTATACTATTCCTCTGGGGATATTTAGACACTTGTCCAGTTTTATTCATATTCCAGACATTGCTGTTTTAAACATTCATGTTAAATGCCTCAGTGCATATGTGCAAGAGATTTTTTGTAGAGTATATATCCACATCAGGAATTTGTAATGCAATTCAAAGACAATGTGAAATAGTTTTCAACAGTGGTTGCATCAGGTTACACATTTTACTCTACATCCTTGCCAATGCATATACTTTTTTTTAAAGTTTGTTTCTGCCCGCCTAGTGAGTGTGATATGTTGTTATTATCACCTCTAAAAGAAACACTGTACCCTTTAAAAACTATCATATCCCTTTCCCTTCATTCCTCCTACCTATAAGCAATCACTAATATGCTTCTGTCTCTGTTTTTTTGCCTATTCTGGGCATTTCATGTAAATGAAGTCAAATACATTGCCTTTTATGACTGGTGACTTTCACTTAACAGTGTTTTCAAAGCTCTTACATGTTGTAGTATGTATTAGTACTTTATTCCATTTTATGCCATAATGTCCCATTGTTTAAATATATTACATTACACTTACCTATTCATCAACTGATGGACTTTTGGGTTGTTTCCATTTTTTGACAATATGAATAATTCTGCTATGAATTTTCTTGTACAAGTTTTCGTGTAGACCTGTGTTTTCATTTATCGTGGGTATATAGCTAAGGAGTGGAACTGCTGGATCCTATGGTTTACTCTGTGTTAACCGTTTGAGGAATTGCTATACTGTTTTCCAAAGCAACTGCACCATTTTACATTTACACCAGCAGTGTATGGAGAGTTAGAATGTTTCTGCTTCCTTGTTAATACATGCTATTATCTGACTTTTTTATTATAGCCATTCTAGTGGGTGTGAAGTGAAGTTTTCAGGGTTGAGTTTTATACTCCTTTGTTGAATTTATTTCTAAGTATTGTATTCTTTTTATCCTGATGTAAATATAATTATTTTTTTAATTTTGTTTTGTATTGTTCATTGCAAGAATGTAGAAATACTGTTGATTTTTGTGTGTCCTTCAACCTTGTTTATCTCAATATTCTAGGAGTTTTTAGTAGTTTATTTATGCAATCAGGTCATCTGCAAATAGGGATAGTTTTACTTTCTTTCCAAACTGGATGCCTTTTACTTCTTTTTCTTGCCTCATTTCCCTGGGTAGGCTCACCAGTGGAATGTTTAATAGAAGTTCCGGTCTTGTTCCTGAACTTGTAGAGAAAGCTCCCATCTTCCACTGGTGTGATGTTGGCTGTGAGGTTTTTTTTTATGTCCTTTATCATGTTGAGTAAATTCCCGTCTATTCCTAGTGGTCGATTGCCTTTACCATGAAAGGGTCTTGGATTCTGTCAGATGCTTTTGCTAGGTCTTATTGAGATGATCATGTTTTTATTCTTCACCCTGTTAGTCTGGTGTGTCACACTAATTGATTTTCAGATGCTAAGCAAACCTTGGCTTCCTAGGATACATCCCACTTAATCACGGCACATTCTTCATTTTATACGTTGCTGAAGTCATTTGGCTATTCACTTGTTGACCTTTGTGTCCATATTCATAAGAGCTTTGATCTGTAGCTTCCATGTGATGTCTTTGTCTGGCTTTGGTGTGAGAGTAATACTGGTCTCCTAGAATGATTTAGGAAGTATTCCTTCCTCTTGCATTTTTTTGAGAAGAGTCTATGAAGAATTGGCATTAACTTTTCTTAAAACATTTGTTAGACTTTACTAGCAAAGCCATCTGGGCATGGGCTTTTCTTTGTGGATAGTTTTTTTATTGCTAATTCAATTTCTTTACTTATTGTAGGCCTCTTTGGATTTTATGTTTCTTCTTGTATCAGTTTTGATAGTTTTGTCTTTGTAGGGATTTGTCCATTTAATCTAATATGTCCATTTTATCTCATTTATTGGCACCCTGTTGTTCATAGTATTTTTTATAGTATTTTTTATTGCTATAAGGTCAGTAGTAATAGCCTTTCATTTTTATACTAATTTGAATCTACTGTCTGTTTTGTTTGGTTTGGCTAAAGGTTTGTCAATTTGTTTATCTTTTCAAAGAACCAACTTCTGGTTTCATTGTGGTTTCTTTCTTTTTTCTTTTGCTAATTTTCTTTCTAATCTGTATTTCCTTCCATTTGCTTTAGGTTTAGTTTACTCTCCTTTTCTGCTATCTTTAGAAGGTTAGTGTATTGATTTAAAATCTTCCTCCTTTGACGGTGTATATTTATAGCTATAAGTTTTACTGTAAGTACTGTTTTAGATGCATCACATATGTTTTGGTACATTGTGTCTTTCATTCATCTGAAAGTATTTTCTAATACTTGTTTTGATTTCTTATTTAACCCAATGGCTTTTTAGAAGTATGTTGTTTAACTTCTGTATATATGTAAATTTCCCAACTTTTTTTCTGTTGATTTCTAATTTCATTCCAATGTGGTTGGAGAATACAATTTGTATTATTTTATTGTTTTAAATTTTTTGAGGTTTGTATTATACCCTAGCATATGGTCTGTCCCAGACAATGTTCCGTGTGCACTTAAGAAGAATGGATATTTTGCTGTTGGATAGAGTGTTCTGTGGATGTCTGTTAGGTCTCTTTGGTTTATAGTAAGCCCAGTTTTCTAGGTGATCTTCTGCCTCGTCATTCTATCCACATTATCCCTCAGTTAAAAGGCTTAAAAATTGAGACAGTAGGTAAAGACCTTTCCCTTACTCCGGCCCATCCATAGTCTTACAGCTTATTACTTTAATCAAAGGAAGACATTGGTCAGGATGATAAACTTTGAGGAATACCTATACTATGCCCAAAGTTAGGGCTACATGTACTGGTCATCACCATACTCATCTCCCTCTAGAGTACTCTAAGCCTTTGCCATACTGTACACAGTAGCCATTAGTTACATGTGGCTATTAAAATTAAAATTAGTTAAAACTAAGTTAAATTAAGACTTTAATTTCTCAGTTACACCAGGCATATTTCAAGTGTTCAGTAACCATGTGTTTATTGGCTACAATCATAGATAGCACTGATAAAGAACATTGCCATCATCACAGAATATATGGTACTAATAACTGTTTGTTAGTTTACTTCATTGGTTGTAATTTCATTTTGTTACAGTGTCTTATATTATTGAAAATGTTGAGTTTGTCCATTTTTCATGTGTTAGTGAGAATTGCAAAAATAATAAATTTAAAATGCCTTAAGTTTAAACAACTAGCGATTAAGGTTCTACTGCTTATAAACTGTGATCTTGGGAAAATCACTTTTAATTTCACTTCCTCACCATTAAAATGGAAATGTTGTGAAGATTAAATGAACAAATATGCATAAAGACTTAGAAAAACCGTACTTGGCATTAATCACTTTATAAGTTACTAACATTATGTATATGTTAATATCCATCTAGCATACATTATGAAATTGAGATCATTAAATAAACTTCTAATTAGATTTCTTTTGCCATGTTGGTTTGTATTTATCTTACGTTTTTTATTTTATTTTTCAATTACAGTTTACATTCAGTATTATTTTGTGTTAGTTTCAGGTGTACAGTATAGTGGTTAGATAGTCATATACTTTATAGACTGTTCCCCCCGATATTTCCAGTACCCACCTGACACCATACATAGTAATTACAATAGTATTGACTATATTCCCTGTGCTTTACTTTGCATCCCCATGACTGTTTTACAACTACCAATACATAATTCTTAATCCCTTCACCTGTTTTACTCAGTCCCCCAAACCCTTTCCCCTCTGACAATCATCAGTCTATTCTCTGTGTCTGAGTCTTTTTCAGTTTTGTTCATTTATTTTGCTCTTTAGATTCCACATATAAGCAAAATCGTATGGTGTTTGTCTTTCTCTGACTGACTTACTCACTGAGCATGATACCCTCTAGGTCCATCCATGCTGTTGCAAATGGTAAGATTTCATTATTCTTTTTTTTAATCCTCACCTGAGGATATTTTTTTCAGAGAGAGTGAAAAGAAGGGAGAAGGGGAGAGACAGAGAGAGAAAGAGAAAAACATCAATGTGAGAGAGACACATCAATTTGGTTGCTTTCCGCACTCACCCCCCTGACCAAGGCTGGGGACCTAGCCTGCAACAGAGGTACATGCCCTTGGCTGAAATCAAACCCGGCACCCTTCAGTCCATGGTCCGATGCTCTAACCACTGAGCAAAACCAGCTAGGGCAAATTTCATTCTTTTTTATGCCTGAGTGATATTTCACTTTATATATGTACCACAGCTTTTTTATCCTCTTGTCTGTTTATGGGCACTTGGGCAGCTTTCAAATCCTGGCTATTGTAAATAATGCTGCAGTGAACATAGGGTTGCATATATTCTTTCAAATTAGTGTTTTGGGTTGCTTTGGTTAAATACCCAGAAGTGGAATCACTGGGTCATAAGGCAGTTTCACTTTTAATTTTTTGAGGACCCTTCATACTGTTTTCCATAGTGGCTGCAAAAGTCTGTATTCCCATCAGTAGTTCATGAGAGGCCCCTTTTGCCCACATTCTCACCAATATTTGTTTGTTGACTTATTGATGGCAGCCATTCTGACAGGTATGAGGTGATATCTCGTTGTGGTTTTAATTCGCATTTCTCTGATGATTAGTGATGTTGAGCATCTTTTCATATGTCTATTGGCCATCTGTATGTCCTCTTTGGAGAAGTGTTTATTCAGGTCCTTTGACTAATTTTTAATTGAATTGTTTGTTTTCTTGGTGTTGAGTCTTATAATAGATCTGCTATGACTCCCAGTTTTGGTAGGGTGGCCTTACGTAGTATGTGTCATGTGAGACCCAGTGGCACAGTCTCCTTGATCCACTGATCTGGGTGCTCTAGGAATGTCCCTTGTTTCGGTTATTTGGGCCCTCCTGTTCTAATTGAGTCTCCATTGCTATTGGCTCATTCATGCGTACTGTAGACCCTCAGGCTGGCTGACCGTGAGGATCAACCCCAACCACAGTGTATGAGCTGCTGTACAGGTGCTGACCACACAAAGCAGAATTCGCTTCAGCAGGATCTGGTGCCAGATCTCCCTTTGGATATGCCACTTGTGAAGCTAATTTGATCTGTTCTGATGTCTGAAACTGGCCACTTGGGTGTGTTGGTTCTGGGGCCTTTTGGGGGAGTGACTCTAGTGCAGGCCAATGTCAGATGCTTCCTGCGACTGGCCCTGGGAACCTGTTTGGAGCTACAAAGCAATCCAGTTTGTGGCTGCCTCTGCTAGGACCTGTGCGTGTGCAGGAAGGACCAAGCTGTGCACCAAGGCAGGCTTTTACCAACACTGGGCCCAGGGACAGGTCAGTAAATGTCCCAAGGCACTCCAAGATCTGCCTCTGCCTGCCAGCTTAGTCACTGAAATAGCCCCTGGTGGTACTCAAGTTGCTTGAGGCAGGTTCTCAGTGAGTTGCAAGGTAAGGGCAAGTGGTGTTCACCAGACTGATACAGGTTCAAAGTTAGTGCCAGTGCTGGGTGTGAGGCCACTCAGCAAATGTCGTAGGGTATACCATGTCCAGCTGCCACCCACCCAGTGCCCACAGACCTTTGTGGTGGGGAAGGATGTCAGGGAGTTGTCAGAGTGAGGCCAGCACAGTTTATTAGGGTTGTGAAAACAGACCCAAGATTTGCCCAGCACTAAAAATTCTTGTATGTTTATGTTAGCTATTAGTACAAGTATTTCAGAAGAATAAACTGTAAAAGTGTATTTGCTGGGTGTAGATGATTATACATTTTGATAAACACTGTAGATTTACTTTTTCTGAAATTAGTGCCAGTTTATAAACAGTATAAAAGAGTGCTTACATATGCAGACTACATGCCAATCTAAAAAGTTTTAAAATGTGAATCTTGTTCACTTAGTGGGGTTGGACATCTTTTCATGTTTGTTGACAACTTTAATCTGTGATATTTTTTTTTGGTACGTACTATGCCCACTTTTCTATTGTGTTCTTTTTGTTAACCTTTTGAAGATTTCTATATATTTTATGTACTCTAACATATTTGTAATTATGTACTGAGTTGTCTCATTCTGGATTTTGTTTATTGTGCATTTTGACTTTTTAAAAATATTTCATTTGTATGTAACTGACTTCATTTTTAAATTTTTGTTCTTCTGACATACTTTTTCTATCCCAAGATTATAAAACTATTCCTCCATGTTTTATTGTAATACTTTTATGGTTTTTATTTATTTACAATTAATCTGATTTTATTTTGTTACAAGGAGTTTTATAGGAATCTACCCTTCCTTTTTTCTGTTCACTATAGTTCCCACTCTTAAGAATTACATCTTTATTTGTGGTCATATTTCTACTATAGCTTACTATAATTAAAAAGTATAATCACAAATGGTTATAAAATTTAGAAATTTTCAACAAATCAGTCTTTAATATATTGTGGGAAAGAACCTCATGGTACTTCTCAGTGCTATGATTATAACTTTATACATGTCGTAAATCTTAGAAACAATTTCTCATCATTAATTTGTCTTAATAAAGGTATTTTTATGGTATTACTTAGCTATGAATGCTCTCTGAACATTTTACTTGCTGGATATGCACTTTTTAAAGTTCCTTTGTTATTATAAGATTGCATGAAGTTCTTTACGAAATTTTAGAAATACATTTTTATAAATTATAAAAGAAAATTTGGTTTTATTTTCTAGGTTTTTTAGGTTTTATTTACATATATTATTAGCAGATACGCTTATTTCACTATTCTTTTGGCTCCTGGGAAATATTTTGTGGAATTTTTTTTTTTTTAATCTTCAGCTGAGGATTTGTTCCCACTGATTTTGAGAGAGAGAGAAAGAAGCATAGATTGGTTGCCTCCCATATGCACCCCAATCAGGGATCAAACCCACAACCTGGGTATGTGCCCTGACCAGGAATTGAACCTGAATCTTTTGATGTATGGTACAGTGCTCCAGCCAACTGAGCCTCCCAGCCAGGGCTGTGGAACCTTTCTGACCTCTCATTCCTCATTTCTGCACCTCACTCCCCTTCCTTTCCTGGTTCTGTCCTCTGGCGGTAGAGGGAAAAAGCACAGTGACAGTAGGTGGAGGGGCACAACTCTGCCTATTAATGTGTAGGTACTGTCAAATATCTGAATATTGGAAATTAATATTAGAAGTACCTGGCCTGTAAGCAACATTTTTGTTCCTGTTTAATTTTTCTATTAATTAGTATTTGACAGAATTCAATGTTTTTATGGCAGATACTTTCTTTAGTAAGGTCTTAAGGAACAGAGTTTCATGCTCTGTCATTTATACTTTATTGGTTTGTTCCTTTTTCTGCTGAGAACATAGTTTAACCATCATTAGGTAATTTGAAGAACTTTCAATTAAAATTGTTTACTTCTATTTAATAGAGTAAGATGTAGAAATACTTTTTCTTCCTATTTTTCCTATTTTCTTTTTATTTTCACAGAAAGAACATGCTCTCTGAATAACTGTACCGTTGCCAAAAGAATTGGAAAAGGAAAAGATGCTACTATCATCTTTGAGCATTTCAGAAAACCTATTGATGCCTTTGTTCAGGAAAAGTGTTCATGCAGTGTGCTAAATTCTGAGATAAATTCTTCCAACTCAAATATTTCTAGTTCCTATGAAGATGTGCAAAATGGAAACATTTCTGTACTTGAAACATACAATGGACAGATGAAGCACAATTTAACAGAATGTAGAGACACTTCTGAAGTACATGCATATGATTCAGGTCTTTCATTTATTCCCAGTGATACCAGAGAAAGTGTTAATGGTGACCTCTTGTTAAATTTGACACATCTTAAAAATGTTTTAAGTGGTCTTCCTGCTGCTTTCCCTCTTCATAACAATATTGGCTCAAGCACAGTTATTACTTCAAAACTCATCAAAGACCCAAGACTTGCGAGGAGAGAAGAAAGCATGGAAAAACATAGTAACATTACAGGTTTAAATAAGAGTTTGCCATTTAAGAAGAGTTTAGATTTTGTTAATTCAGAAATAAACCTGTCTGTGCCAACTAGTTCTGCCTCCTCATCAGAAGTCATGCCTGGAGATGATGCTAGTCTTCGTAATTGTTTGGATGCTCCTTGCTTCAAAATTTCTTTTGATGGTTCACAATCTCAGGCTCACAGCATGGGCTCTAAGAACTGTGATTATACAACTCCCAATAAAACTAGCATGGCACAGTGTCAGGACCAAGACAATTGTTCCTTCCCAACATGTTTGTCAAATGTAGTTTCAAAAGTTGAAAACCAAAAACAAAGTGAAGAAAAAGCCCAGAGATCCCAACAGAGAAGTAACATCCCACTTTTAATCAAACAAAATAGTGAACTACATAACTCTCTTGAATCAGTGAGTACTCGTACAAAAGGGCATAACAGTCACATCTCTCAGGAATCACAGTCTTCTACCTTAAAAACTATATGTCAGACTGGTCGCAAAACATCTGCAGATTTTCCATTCCAGAGGAAAGAAAGCATACATAAGTATATTCAAAATACTGGAAAGTTGAGAAACTTCACTGGCCTAAAAGACAATTCCAAACATTTAGAAAAGAAAAATTTGTGGAAAGAAATTGATAATTATTGTAGTAATGAAACAAAAATTAGTCCAATAGATAATTGCATTACTTTGCACCAAGAATACAAAGAGGATGGGAGTCTTGATTCTTTTGGAAAAAATCGTGATCAAATATTAATCACTCAAGAGTTACAAATACCAAAATCTTCCACAAAGAATAAATATAAGCTAGGTTATCTACCATTGGAATTACAAAATAATATTACTCCAAGAGTGCAAAGCCTTTCACAAAAGCATCCTCAACACTGTTTGGACAATGAAGACAACGGTCATACCGGTTTTGCCATTTCTCAAAAATTAATGGAACTGAAATTGGAAAAAACAAATCAGAACTGTATTAGCATTATAACTGATGCTTTCCAGGAAGCAAAAGACATTCCTCAGGCCAAAGAACTGCCAATGGATACAGTTACTTCATCTCATGACATTAAAACAGCTCATAACAATTCAAATTGCAGCATAGCTAGAGAACGTACATGTGTCCATAGGAAAAATGAAAGTGATCCAGTGTCATTAGAAAACATTCAAAGAGACCATAAAAAAACTTCCCAAATGGACGATAAAGGTCCAGATTATACTCTGTTCTGTAATGCACAGCTGAATAATGACATACACCTGAATGTTGATTTCAAAGAACAAAGAGCTAATGATAAAAAAAAACAAACTGAGGCTAAAGAGGAAAACATTGCTTCATCTACAGAAAACAACATAGAAGATGTATGTGGACATGAGAAGCAGGATTTTCATACAAACAATTTTATTAATATAGATGAAAGGCAGGAGAATAAAAATTACAATAATGTAGAAATTCTGGGTTCTGAAGGATTGTCTACATTTTATTTGACTTGGGGGGAAAAATATGTATCAACAGAAACTTCATTATTGGAAACTGAAGATACTATCACTGCCGTAAAACAAAAAGATACACAAAATACCGTGAGGAGTGTAGAGCATTTGACTACCATATGTCCCAAAATCTCAATGTGTGTACCCTCAAATGCTGCAATACAGAAAGACAGTGCTACGGTGTCCACATTAGACACAAGTCATGAAGATCACCAAAGATACAAGTTTAAAGAAACTTGTTCTGAGAGTCCATATTTGGGGTTGTTAGTAAAGCATAGAGCTTCTGATTGTGAGGTGGGTATGGATAAAGACACTTTACAAAACTCCTTTCATCAGTCAATACGTGACAACTTAGTTCTTCAAAGTTTTGAATTGGAAAATGAAATTGAAGTAGAATCAGAACAGTGTGATGATGCTTTTCTATATCAACAAGATACTCATAGCCATGGAAGCATACTGTGTGAAGAATTTGGGGCCTCATATGAAGCTCTGAAGTCTCGTATCGATTGGGAATATCTATTAGGAAGCAATAACAGGGAGAATGAAATTTTGAAAAGCACCACAAGAAAAGAGCCTACTAATCAGCGTTACTCTGATTCTTCCTCTGCACAAGAAGACGAAGCAGAGCTCTTGAACCCAATTTTACTTCCAGATCTACAAGTTACAGTTGCTAATATACTTAGGCCAGGATTCAGTTCCACTGTTGAGTCCCTTGCATTGAAAGATAAGTTTTGCAAATATATAACTGAAGCCACAAAACCAGAAATAAGTGAGGAGGAGGGGAAAGTTCCAGGATTTGAAATTTATTCCCGGTTTTCTGGTGAAAATTCAGATTACCTATGTGAGGATGAATTTGGTAATTTAAGCCAAGAATCAGGACTAGTGAGTAAATCTGAAATCTCACTTTCTTTTGACTTAAGTCATAATACACACATGAATCACACGCCTGAAGAACAAAACAGTGGGCCTTTGCCCACTGAACTTTGGAATGTCACAGCAGTAAATAACAAAAGCAGGTGTTTCCTTACAAAGTCAAACACTAACTGTAATGACACTGGAAGTGACATGGATACAGAATCGAGAATTAGCAAAAGAAAGCCACATACGCCTTTTAGGGGCCAGAATGAACCACGTCATGAAATGTGTGAGAAAAAGAGGAAGCTAGCCAATCCAGACTCATCTGAACGTTTTTCTTCGTTATCCAAAGGACGAATTAAAACATTTTCACAGTCAGAAAAGCATATTAGGAGTGTCCTGGATATTCTAAATAGTGAAGTATCTTTATGCAAAAGCAAATGCCTTTCCAAAAAACTTGACAGAGCTCTTCTTTACTTAAAAAAAGCTCATAGACGAGTTAACACATCTTTGGAGCTTATAGCTAAAGTGGGAGAAACTTCAAGAAAGGGCCCGTTACCAAAGTCATATGCAATAATATGCAATAATTTTTGGGAAATTTGTGACCTTCAGGGTTATAGTTCTTTTTCTGAAAGAAGATATTATTCCACTAAGCATTTTTTTCCAAAAAGAAAATGTGACAAACCAGGAGAGAAAAAAGCTTTGGGATTTGAAGATGATAAATCATTAACTCACGTATCGAAGTACCAGTCTTATAGAACAAGTGGAGAGAGGATCACAAAGTGCTTTTCTAAGAAAAATATGGCCAACAGTGTCTCCAGAAGTCACACCACTATTCATGTGAGAGAATTTTGTGATCAGGAATATCCTGAATCACAGTTAACTCTGTGTTCCACATCCCAAAGTACAAGTCAGTCAGCTTATGACAATACCTGTATAAGAAATCCAAGATCATCAGAACCTCAACCCTTTTCTGGAAAAATGGGGTGTCTGTTTTCCCCAGACTGCCCAGATGAAAAAGTAACTAAAAAAGAAAATCAGATTGACATAAAGTCTTCATCTAACATTAATAAATATGAAACACCTGAGAATCATATAGCACACACAGATGCAATAAAAGGAAGTGCTGAGGCTAATGAAGTAATAGATAAAACTAATTCAGTATCTTTACGTTGCATAAAAGAAAACAACGTAAGTTTTAGCGCAGACCAAAATTATGATGCAGCTTGTATAGCTCACACAAAGGTGAAAACTGACATAGTTATTTCAGTCTTAGAATCAAATGTCAAGCACTTTTTGAATGTTGATAAGTACAAACCAGATAACCTTACTTTATCTGGTTACAAAAGAAACCTGGAAGTAAATTTATTAGAAAAATGGACATCTCCTACTGAGAGTTCCAAACCAGACACTATTACAGGAAACATCCTTAGGGACCCATTAAATCAAACTCTAACAATAAGCCAAAAATGTAATAGTATTCCTCAATTGTTACCAACTGTTCCTGGGACACACACCGAGGAAGAATCTTCAGAACCTTGTTTGGATAAACAGAGAACTTTTGCTGTCGGTTCTTTTGCAGCACCCACCAATGTACCACACTATCAGCAAGGACATGGCGGAAAGGAGCTTCTGAAGACAGAACAATGCTCTTCAAGTAGTTGTGTCCATATAGACAGGAATGAAACAAACATTACTGAGAATTCTGAGTCGGATCTTATACCAGTAACTGAAGAAAGTAAAAGTTATGGGGAAAATACAATGAAGAGACCTTTTTCCAGTGATAGTTCTCAGCTCTTAAAAGATGTTATAAAGGGTTCCTCCAAAAGATATGTTTCAGAGAAAGACATTCTGGACAGAAAAATGTGGAAAGTGAAACAAACTGAAAAAGCAAAAGATTCAGTTCATACAAAAAGCATGAGTAAAGGATCAACTGTTATGAATGAATACAGAAATAAAAAGAATAAGATTTTAGGAAAATCCTATTTAAGTGAGAAAACAATTAAAAATAACCGGATTGATTCTCATCTAAGCGTTAAAAATACTAAGGCAATTCCTTTGAATAACACAGTTTCTAATCAGCTTAACAAAAGAGAAAAGGAGGTGATTAAAGTTAGTAATGAATCTCAGTTTGACTCCACCTTGCAACCAGACATTTCAGGAGTGAATCCTGTATCTGTTTTACATGTTTGCTCTGAAACCTCCAAAGTCACTACTCCTCAGAAGAACCTTACATCATACATGAATAAATTAAAAGAAAAACATTGCTCAGCTAATCATTCAGATGTCACAGCTAGGCTAGCTCAGATTTTGAGGAGGGCAGATGAGACATCATCTTTGCAGAGTCTACAGGAAGAAACTAAGATTTGTCAAAATATTCTCCCTTTATTTGTTGAAGCTTTTGAAAGAAAGCAAGAATGTTCATTTGAGCAAATCTTGATTTCAAGAGGACTGTTGGTAGAAAAAAACCTGTGGAATAATTGCAAACACAAATTAAAACCATGTGCTGTTGACTCCTTGGTAGAACTCCAAATGGTGATGGAAACTATTCAATTCATTGAAAACAAAAAAAGCCTCTTAGGAGGTGAACCGACATTCCGAAGCTTGCTTTGGTATGATGAGACATTGTACAGTGAGCTGCTTGGCAGGCCACGCGGATTTCAACAACAATCCAATTTCTATCCTGCTTTTCAAGGAAGGCTAAAATACAATGCATTCTGTGAGTTGCAGAACTATCATGATCAATTAATTGACTTATTAGAAAACACCAAAAAGGAAAATTCATACTATGCATTCTTGAAATGCAAACGACAGATTAATGAGTGTGAAGCAATATTAAGGCGTTGTTCTGATTGCTTTGACTTTTCTCTTTCTGTTCCATTTACCTGTGGAGTTAACTTCGGAGATAGCTTAGTAGAACTAGAAACCTTAAGAAAAAGTACGTTAGAGCTGATCTGTATGTACGAGAGTTCTCCTAAAGTTGATTATCAATTTGGAAAACAGGACCATTTGTGGATTATCGTTGAAATGATCACCTCAAAAGTTAATTTTATCAAGAGCAATGAGGCAGTAGGTATTAATATATCTCTTTATGGCCTGGAACATATCTTTTTTGATGCTGCAAAGAGTCTTGTTTGGAAAGAGAAGAAACAATCTTTCAACAAAAAATACTCAGGACAGAAGAATAAAGAAACACTACTCAAGATGAATCAATCTTCTTTTTCTAAATTGCAAAAGATATATGATACATTGTCTAAAAATTTAAGCAGTGAACAAATTTCTAATATTGGGCATGAGGAGAATACTATGATGGCTTCCAGAAAGTCAGATGATCTAATCAACAAAGCAACAGTTAGCATAGAAAACTGTAGATTTACCAGTACTTTGCTTTCACACCCAGATATCAGTGGTATTAGTGAAATACTGGATCAAGCTGAATTTGCAGACTTTAAAAAATTACAGGAACTCACTTTGAGATGTACTGATCACTTAGCAATTTTAAAAAGGTACTTTCAGATGCTGCAAGAGGATAACAGAGAAAATGTTTTTATCACAGAAGAAAACGTTTTGGACGTGGTTGGAAACCACAACCATGAGGCTATAATTTTAAAACCTGCAGCCACTGAAACCTATATTGAAATAGCCATGCTCTCAGAAACACTTCACTTTCTTAAAAACTCAATGGCAAAGAAACTAGATAAACAAAGGTTTCGAGGGATGCTTTGGTTTGATTTGTCACTTCTTCCCGAGTTGATTCACTGCCAAGAAAAAATGGCTTCTTTTTCATTTCTTAAAGATAACTCAACAGATTGCCTTTGGAAAGTGATAGAAACTGCTATTTCTGAACTTAAGAAAGATCTAGATGTTATCTACAAACATAACGAAGCTGCTAATTGCTCTTATGCTCTTCATTTGTTCTCAAGAGAACTTCAAGAACTTTCAGAAATTAAAAAACTTCTAAAGAAGTCTGAGTATTCTGCTTCCACATATATTGACTTCATGCCATGTATAGCATCCATAAATTATGGGAGCACTGTGACAGAGTTAGAATACAACTACAATCAGTTTTCTACATTGCTCAAAAATATATTGGTTGCCCCGCGGAAAGATTTAGGGAAAATGGCCCATATTGTGAAAGTCATGAAAACTATTGAACATATGAAGATAATATGTACTAAGAATGCCAAATTTACCATTTCCTTCATCCTGTGGCAAATGCTGCATAATAGAGAGAAGACTTCCCAACTGAAGAGAAAAGAAAAAATGAATGTTCATGTAAAACCTAAGAAAAATATCAATAAATCCAGTACTTGTAGGAAGGTGCCCTCAATTTCAGAGAGCAGAATGAAAAATGTTTCAGATTCTTCCAGAAAACGACCTATCACTGTAGACAACTATCAAGACTCTCAGGAACAAAAGAAAAATACGACTGTTTCCAGCTGTAAAAAACAAAAGGTAATGAATGTTTAAAACAAAACCTATATAGTATTATTTTTGAAAACAAGTCTAGCCTTAAAGCAAGTAAGTAGTTAGCAGAATTGTAAAAATTGAGAATAGTTTAAATACTGCCTTGCAAAATGAATATATGAAAGTATTGGTTTCAACAATTTATATTACCTGTAAAACATAAATTATAATGTATATGAGACATACCTTGAACATGTCTTTTAAATGTACAAATTAAATAAATTATTTAACTTACAAAACCTTTCTTGAAAGGATTTGAATTTTAATCATTTTTTTTAAGGGAAAGCCCAATATTACCAATGTGAGTTCAGTGAGTGACCAAGTGTTTATTGAGCAGCCTCTACATAACAAGGCTGTAGTTAATGTAGTGAATATTAAAAACTGGCCAATGGAGCTTGTGTTCTGGACCATTATCCACATGGAGAAATAGGACAGATATTTTTTTTAAATACTTTTTTATTGATTTTAGAGAGGAAGGGGGAGGGAGAGAGAAACATCCATGTGAAAGAAACATCAGTTGGCTCGAGCCTGCCACCCAAGCATGTGCCCTGAGCAGGAATCGAACTAGCGACCTTTTGGTGCATAAGATGATGCTCCACTAACTAAACCACACTGGCCAGGGCAGGACAGATATTTTTAAATATATGATTATGAAGATATAGAAATCCTATATAAACACATTTTATTTAACAAATTTTATACAGCATTTTTTGTGTGCTTGACGCTGTTGTGATATTGTACAAATACTAACCTTTTTTATTCACAAAGCCTTATGATGTAGGCACTATTGTTTTCTTATTTAAAGGTAAGGAAACTAAGACATAGAAAAGATAAATAACTTTCCTAGTGTGACAGTTATTATTAAATGGGAGAACCCAGATGTCAAACCAGGCAGTCTGTACTAACTAGTGCCTCTACTTTGCTCTCAGAGGCTTCTCTTAAAAGTTTTCAAGAATTTCTCAGTTCAGAAGTATAGAAAAACCTATATGCAAAATGAAAGGTAGGATTCTTTCTCAGCTTACTCTAATTGTATTCATTAGTTAAACTAGTTCTAGAGATTAGGAAGCTAATCATTATGTTTCTAGGAAAATGCATAATAAACAACCAAGTTTTGGAAGTATGTTTATCATACTAAAAAGGTGTAAGTATTGAGAAGAAAAGCAAAAAAGAGAGAGAGGTGGTTTATTTGTTGATTTCGTGGAATAACAAACCTAAAGCCTGGCTTTAAAGGAAACAGACGTTATCATCTGAGTGTAGAAATGAAGAGAATATATAAGTTCTGGAAAACAGCATGAGCAAGGACACAATGCTTATTGACCTATCTTGAGAAATGAGTTTAAAATTAAGTCCTAAACAGAAAAATTAACTTAGTGGACAAGCTAAGGATGGAGAAGATTGTTTCAGATTATTAAATGTCTTAAATATAAGCCTAAGGAGTTTGAACTTAATTCTCTACATATTGACAGATAGTGTCCTGTGAAACATGTTTTTTCAGTCATTTAAAGGTAGAGATTCTGAGTACACTTAGAAGTAGTAAGTCATCCAGGGCTTAGACAAGGGTGCTGTTTTGCAGAATAAAAAAGGAAAATCCATGTTTGATATTACTTAGAATGGGGCTTAGTGACTGGTTTACTGAAAGGTCTAAAAGAGGGAGCAGTGGGAAATGGACTCCAAGATCTATTATAAAATGTGAGGATAAAAAGAATTTTGCACATTTTTTTTTAAAGTGTCTCCAAACATTAATGAAATATGGGAAGTCCAGCAGAGTCACTGCTTTTCAAAGGGGAGGGTCATTAATGAGTGTAGTGTTAGTGTATTTTAGATGATGACAGAACAAGCCAATTGCAAATATCTGATATTAAAATAATAATTTATATTGTATTTTAAACCATCACCAATGCAGCTTTACTTTGTATCTTTTAAACAGGTTAACATGAAAGATGTCACAAAAATCAACAAAGAAAAGACAACGTTAAAGCATGCAAGGTAGGGATTGCCGTTAGTCCTATCTGAAGAAAAACGAAACAAAACTGAGCACATATTAAGGAACAAGACTAAAACATTTATTTATATACCTGTGTTGGATCATACATGTAATTTAGGGGACAAGAGTAAGCTAAGGAGGGAGAAGAGATTGTTTCAGATTATGCAGCTTCTTAAGCAATGCCTAAAGAGTTAGAACTTTATTCTGTAAGTATTGAAGGGTAAGGTCCTGTGAAATGTATTTTCTCAATGATGTAAAGGGTAAGGAGATTCTGAGTACAGGTAGAAGTCATAAGTCAGCCAGGGCTTAGAAAAGAGGGATGGTTTTACATAAAAAAAAGTAAAATTCCTATTTGACAAGATATTACTTAAAGAATTGGTGGGACTTAGTGACTGGTTTTACTAAAAATGGCGTAAAAGAATAGGATAAGTGATTAGATTGAGTTTTCTAATCTTGTGGACTTTACAGACCAGTCACATTTCAAAATTGGTTAAAACATATAAATTGCCAACTTATATTACTAAGTGGGAGCTTAGTCATAGGCAAACACATATTATAAATACACCAGTGTTGCATAAGAGGGTGTTTTAACACTATACTATACAAAGAACTTGATTTCAAAATAAAGCCTAGCTCTTTAAACTGAGTTATTTTTATGAACATCTCACTACATTATGTTTTTCTTATTTTGACATGAAGTGGCTCCACTGGACTTGCTGATCATCTCTTGTTTTATTCAACGCTGTAAGATCTTCAGTTTATGATAAGCTTCATTTTTTCCATTTTTTCTTTTGTTTTGTAAAGGAGAGTGAGTAATATAAAATAAAAAATATATGATACGCATCCTCATTTCTGTCTCTCTTGGTTTTGCTTTTCATTAAAACATTTTTTACATAAGGTAGGCTATTCCTTTTTTTAACATATATGTATTTTTCTTACTGATCTTTAGAGAGAAAGGAAGCAAGAGGGAGGGAGAGAGAAATGGATGTGAGAGTGAAACATCAATTGGCTGCCTCCTACCCTGTCAGGGATTGAGCGTAGGGCCCACAAACCCCGGCATGTGCTCTGACCGGGAATCGAACCAGCAATCTTCCAGTGCACAGGACAACACCCAACCAGTTGAGCCACACCGGTCAGGGCAGTTTTGCCTCTTTAAATACAGCAGTTTAGCCTAGAGTGACTCAGTTGGTTGAGTGCTGTCCTGTGCAATGAAGGGTTGCCGATTCAATTCCTGTTCAAGGCACATGCATGAGGTATGTTCGGTCCACAGTCGGGGCACATGCGGAAGGCAGTCAGTTGCTATTTCTCTCTCTCCCCCCCCCTTATCTTTCTCTCTCTAAGCATGTCCTTGGATGAGGATTTTTTTAAAAAGATAGATACAGCATTTTATTTCCTGGCACACGTGACTCTCAGTAGGTATGCAGTGGTGTAAAGCTGAACAGGCTGTTAGAAGGATAACATAAACCAGCTCTGTAATCATCTTGGTTTTGGTAACTAACTATAGGTGGTATTTACACTCAAAGAATCAAACTTTGTTTCACTTAGCAGGAAAATGGATTATAAGGTTAATAAAAGGTGCTATCTTCATGAAAGAGTATTCTCTAAGAGAATACATAAGAGGACAGATGATGCAGGCAACTGTCAGTCATAAGGTGGAGGCATCTCTGAAACATCATTGGGAATGTGACAAAGTCAAAATTGTACTTTCTTGACATTTTCAAAGTCTTGTATGGGGTTGGATGATCTAGGTTATCATTAAAGTGCTTTTTAAGGAAACTGGAGTAAGTAAAATGTGGAGCTTTTAGTTTCATTAAGTGGAATATACAAATTCAAGGCCAAAGATTAATTTCTCTTGATTGTAGAGGAATGGTTACTTTTTTCTTTTCAACAGATGAGACAGCAAAAGATAGAATTACCTTGGGGACCTGTATTAACTGTTTGCCTCTGTACATTCCCATAATGGATTCTTCCTTCAGCCAGCTTGAAACTAAATTTATGTAGGAATGCAAAGGATATTAAACTGGCAAGGAATTTTGGAGGTCTGCTTTTCCTATTCTCGACCTTGAACAGACAAAATATCTTAACAGTTAGTGATAACACAAGATCTTCGTGGGCAGGGCACATCTGGTAGTTCACCAGTTATATATAGCCACATGTAAGTAAAGAGGAATGTCAGTGGGTTGGAGGTATATGAATTAGAAACTACACTAAAAAAAATGAATAGTGATGCTTTTCCACTTCTAAAAGCCTCTATCAGTAAATGTCAAAAGCATAAAATTCTTTACAATATTGGAAGCACTGTATATTTTTGAAATATGTATTTGAAATGTGGAGTATCTAAGTTCAAACCAAGGTGGTAAAACGGGAAATATAGTACTTGTATACAGCCAATAGAAAGAGAAAATGTTAATCTTAAGAACTCTTCTCTTGAATAAAAATTTCAAATATATTTATATTAAAACTTTGCAACTGTATATTTAAAATTGTTTTATGTATATGTTACACTTAATAGGACCACAAGATCTCATCCCAAAAGTGAAAGTGAAATAGGACCAAGTTCATCTAACAACCAGCAGAGAAGCTTTGGATCTCCAAAAAAGGTTGAAATGCAAAGATCACTACCTGGCTCACCTTTACCTTTAAAGAACTTAAAAGACACTTGCACGTTGAAGTCGGCGGAAAAAATAGATTTAACTAAAGTTTCATCTGATGCTTCAGAGAATTTCTCTGGACAACAGGGAAATGTAAATAGCATGAAGAAGAGAGATGTGAATTTTAGTGCTGCTGAAGCAAAAAGGGATAAGAAAGATTATTATTTTGTAATTTTTGACCAAAAAAGTATAGATGGCACCTTTTCAGAAGACCATGAAACACCTTCACAGAAATTTCTTAACAATTCCCTAGATCCCTCAGACATAAAACCAGGAACTGATGCTTCTCTTCTGCCTGCTGCATCAGTGCCCTCAAAGCCTATTTTCTGTTTTGTGAGGGATATCCATGCCAATTTAGAAATGAATGACACTGTCATTGAACTTCAAGATAATGAAATATTAAATTCATCTATTAAAAATTCTACAGGCACTAATTCTCCAGAACCCATATTTGTCCAAAACAAAATACCTGTTCCACAAATAAATGAAACACAACCTGCAAAAGCTGAGTCAAAAGAAAAATATATGAAAGACACATCGAAGCCCAGCACAGTGCCTGTTGAAGCATCTGAGAACATAGCCCTTAATGTCAGTCAAGCAGCAGAACAACAGAGTAATGAAGATTCAAAGGCCCTAACTCAGAATGCTGCCACATATGAGCACGAGCCTCCACAATACGGATGTACCCCAATATATAATGCTTCTGAACACTCATTTGGAACTTTATATCCTTCCTATACTTGGTGTGTTTATCATTACAGCAGCAACAATGGCAGTGCCATTACCCAGACATACCAGGGCATAGCATCGCTTGAAGTACAGCCACTTGCTCCTGAGATGTTGACTGCAGTTCCAAGTACTGTGCAAAATACACATTCTGATCTTTTGTATTCTCAGTACTTTGATAACTTTGCTGGGGGGCCACAAACATATGACTTTATGCCAGAAAATGGGTATTTTCCATCTCAAATACCTGTTTCTTACAATGTCCGGCAGCCAGCTTTTTCACAGTATGCGTCCTATCAACCATTACCACAAGCTGCATACCCTTACCCTCCTGACTCAGGTGTGCTTTCACAAGTTCCCTGGACTTACGGTGAGTTTCGCAAGTTTTAATGCTTGCTTCATTGAGTTTTCACTTTTATCTTTTTATATTTATAAAATGGCATTTACAACAAGTGGTGATACATAGCAGTCATTTTTCTGTGCAGATGAGTAGAATTGTTCAAATACCAGACAGTTAAATTATGTTGTCAGGTGAAAATCTAATTGCCAAAAGATGGAAGAAAAAGAATTGTTAATATCACTCATATGTTCTTCAACAAAGCCTAACTTTTAGGGAATCATTAAGAAAATTATAGTTAACTCATACCATGAAATATAATGTAATCATCAAAGGGCTTACTGAAGTTTTAATGACAATTTTTTAAAGCTATGTCATGTAAATTTACCTATTTAATCAAAGAAATGCATATAAATACTGATATGAAGTACACCACCATTTCAGCTTGTCTGCCTCTGGGTAATAAAATTTGGGGTGTGTGGAAAGTGTTTTTCTGTATTTTTCTACTGGGAGCATACATTATTGTAATAAATGGAGAAAAATAGACTAAAAAACCAAGGTGGGAAAAGAAACTTCAATCCAATAAAGCAGTCTTTCTCTTTCTGTCTGTATTCTAATATACTCTTGGCAGAAAGGAAAATGGAGTTAATTGAGATGTGTTGATAGGACAGCATGGTAGTTTGCCACTGGAACTTGAAAATATTTTTCTTCAATGTAATTCTGTTTGTAAAATATTATGATTATTATATAATATAGATTTTTTAAATTAAATTGAAATACATATTTACCAGAGTTAAAGCAAAATTTTAAAACAATTATTAATAATTCTGCAAAAACTAGTTATTCTCTAACACCCAAATAGTCTACTGTTAGAGTTAAAATATGCTCTTAATAAAGTTGACCTCTTAATGTCTTAAGCAGAGAATTGTAAAGAATTTCTTTTAAATTTAAAAATTCTCAGCCCTGCATTTTCTTACAAATTGATAAGTAGAAAAAATCAATTGAATGAATTTCATCTGTCTGATTTGGACAAGAAGCAACCTATTAACATAATTTCTAATTAAGAAATCTGATCAGGACAGCATAGGGAATATTGTCAATATCATAATAACTATGTATGGTGACAGATGGTTACTAGACTTACTGTGATCACTTCATAAGGTATAAAATGTCCAAGCACTATATGGCACACCTGAAACTAATATAATATTGTATGTCAACTATAATTTTTAAAAAAGAAAACAAAAACAACCCCTGACCTAAGGGAATTTCACAAACAAGAAAAAAAGAGAAATCTGATCACCGGAGCACCTCTGCATTAGAGTTGACACTGGCACCTAACACCTAAAGGATAAATTCAAATTAGCTTGGAATACAGGGCCCTTCACAGTCCTGTATATACAGTATAACCTCATCTCTCACCACTTTGACCTCTGAATGCAAGCCGCATTGAACTCCTAACTCCCATTTGACATTTCCTCTTGTACTCCCATGGTACTTTTTGTGTGCGTGTCTCACATAGGCATGTGAGTGTTGTGTGGTGGTGTAATTATCTGTTTATCTTTCCCTTTCCTCTCTGCCCCACCAAATGAATTTAAACAGGACTGGAAATTTTTCACCAAAAAAGCAATCTGAAAAAAACTCTGAAGGAGGGAGAAAGAAACAAGAGTGGGAGAGTATATACCCCTTTTTGGTTAATTTGATAGATTGCTGCTGTTGCTGTAATGATAAACACTCTAAGCATGGATGTGGCAAACCTAGGAATAAAAGTTGACATCTTGAATGTAATTGTTTTGTAAAGATTCTCATAGTTGGAGCTTCCTTGTGTTCTTAATAATTAAGTTGCTTGTGATGCTAAAAAAGATATCTCTGGAATCAAGTCCAGCTTTGATTCTCAAAATTTTTAATTAGTACCTCCTTGGTTATATTAGCCAAGTAAAAATAAAAATAAAATAAACTATTCTCTACTTATTATAGTATCCAAAAGTAACTCTAAAAAAAATTAGGAGGCAATATAAGCACATCATTTAGTTTTTATGAGTGCAGATAATCCCACACTTACAGAAACTACATCCTTCTAAAGATATGAAAATCCCTGTGGCCCACTTGCTGTTTAGTTTTATTCATGATGCTGTCGTTCAACACCTTAAATGGAACTAAAGTAAGGGACTAAATGCGCCCTGTGTGCCAGACACATTACATCATTTATTCCATTTAATTCTCACAAGATACCTAAGAGAGAGAGAGAGATACTGTTGTTCTTTTGCAGATGAAGAAATTCTCCTTGGGGAGCCTTAAATCACTTTGTCAGGATCCCCTCTCTAGTAAAGGGCCAATGTGCCATTTAAACTTTGACATCTTCGGCACTAACTTATCTCAGGTCTTTCCATTATACTGTTATGTACCATTAGTCTGCACCGTTAACTTATCTCAAATCTCTATGGGGTTTTTTCTTCCAGTTTCATGGCAACATCAAGAACTCTTTCAGCAAGGACGTTGAAACAGTCTTCTGTCCACTGAAATAAAGGAGATTTACAAGTTTTTCCAAGTGTATTTTACTTATATACTTTTATGTTAACACTTTAAATATATGTAAGTGTGGTAGGACATATAGATCATATAGCCTTTATAAAATTGTTAAATGTAACAGTGTATCATATAATGCAATGGGGAATCAATTTCTGATATCCAAAATACCATAATTATTCCCATGCAATTATTTTAGTGAACTCTGTACTAGGCTGTTTTCAGTACCCACCTAGCTATCAGAAACATTAACAATATTTTTTTAATTATTTTTTGAAATGTTTCTATACAGCTATTACAATTATATAAAGATTTTCTTTGAGATTATTCTAATGGAATAAGGAGAGTTAAATGTAACATTTACTATGATTAAGGTAAGCAAAAGTAGTGAAATCTTTAAGAATTTTGTTTCTGATATTTTTGGTACATTGTTTATGGTAGTGTTATGCCATTTGACTTAGATCAAAATAGGATTTGTTTTTTACTTGAATTGGTCGTCAGAACAATAATCTTATAATCTGTGACATTTTATTTATGTAATTTACAATTTTACTATGTCCAACATGAAAAATTTCTTTTAATATTTTCTAATTTTTACTTATAAAATATGTTGTAATAGTTTTGCATATTTTCAGTGTTTGTCCTTGAGTAGAGATTTTTAAAATATCTGTTTGCAGCAGATTTATTTTAATTATATTGAAATTAAAGCATGTTTCATACCTTTTTCCAAAAGAGCCCTTTCCACAATATTGTATCTTTTGTATTTTTATTTCATAATTTAAATGGTTTTTAATGATTTTGTAGCAAATAAAAGGGAACAGTGACTTTAGCTTATGCCATTAGTTTAGTGGTATTTTAGTAATTTAAATAATGCAGCACAAATACAAGTTTTTTAGTGCTGGGGTCACAAATTGTTTTTCAACATTCCACAAAAGTAAAAAATGCCTTAATAATTATTGTAGAACAGCAGGGGTGTAGTGTGTAACTATGGTCTTTAGCAACCTCTCAGCCCACTAACAACTCTTCCTGTATTCTGTAAGATCTCAGTCAGAAAGATTCCTCACAACTAGATAGACTTTTCTCAAATGCAGGTGGGTCCTAAAGTGTCATTCTAGATTTGCATTGGTTAAATCTAAACAGGTAGCTAACCTACAGTGTTCTGTCAAACTTTTTAAGTTAGCAAACTATGTTATATAGCACAGGTCTCCAAAGACAGTGTAATTCAGCCATATTTATTATAGAGTACTTTTTCAGTTTAGAAAAACACTAAGAACCCACAGGATAAGCTTCTTTAGTCACATTAACCAAATAGCATAGAATTCAGATTACTTTGGGTTCTTCTCTAACAGATCTTTAAAAGAGGAAAGTCAAAGAACTACAATCGAGAGAAAGGAATTTGAAAAAAGACTACAGAATTAAAGCAATATCAAGATAACATTTTTTGTCCATACAGTAATTTTATTTGAAAATAGTCTGTAAAAATCAAACTCTTGAGCAGGAATTAAAGCAATAATAACTGTTAATCAAAAATGACTTTGCCTCAGCCATTTTATTTATGTTTGGTTGTAAAAAGATGTTACAAATTTATTATTGAAGATGTTTCTTTCAGTTAAATATTCTAAATAAGAATGCTTTCTTTAAACTTTCAGATTCTGTTGATACTCTTTGTGATATTTTTTATTTCATAAGTTTGAATGTCTTCAAAAAAAGAAAATGAAAACAGTCTTATCTGGCTATTCAGTTACATTTAGAAATCTGTACTTTGAAATAGAACATGAAAAAATGTATTTTTCCCTCAAGTATGTGTTTTGGTTCTAAAAATAAAAAGAGAGCAAATTGCCCTGGCCAGTGTGTTCAGTGGTTAGATCGTCGCCCTTGCACCAGAGAGTCTCAGGTTCCATTCCCAGTCAAGGGCAAGTAACCTGGGTTGCAGGCTCCCGCCCCACCCCCGGTGGGGGCACCTGCGGGAGGCAACCAGTCTCTCTCTCATTGGTGTGTCTGTCTCACATTGATCTGTCTCTCTGCCTCTGTCTCTCTCTTTCCCTCCCTCCTTTGTACTCTCTCTGAAAGCAGTGGAAAAAATATCCTCAGGTGAGGATTAACCAAACAAAAAATAGAACAAATTAAAATTTGAGCTAGCGTTAAAAACAAAAAAAAAATCCCTGGCTGTTTGTAAATATTATTGTTTTGGAACTTAAAGAAGAATTATCTGAAGAGACTGAATTCAGGGGTTTTCTAGTTTCAGGGTTTTTTTTCCTTTTGTGTTTCTTTAATGAGCAAATATGTGGGTGGTCCTTGATTTATACATCTGTGAGCAACAGCCCACAAGAACTGACTGAATTAGAGACTAAGTAAACTGCTGGAGCTCTTCTTCCACTCCAGCTGCTTTTGCCTTCATCTCCGCTTCCTTCCCCTTATGCTTACAAACTGCATTACGCCTGGAGTTTCATAGGACAAACCAAAGTCCCTGCCCTCAATGCAGTTCTCATTTCAGTCAAGAGAGACAAGTAATAAACATGTAAATAGTTCATGTCACATCATGAGAAGTGATGTGTAACAAAACAAAGTAGTGGAATAAAGAATGGGTGATACATAAGCTGAGATGTTCAGGGAAGGCCTCTTTGAGGTAATCAACCTAACTTTCACATATATTATTATATTTTAATTATATTCCCCTGCCTTCCGTTAATATGCATAATGTAAAAATGCCTCTAAAACTTGAGTTCTGAATCTAGCCAAAAATATAAGACTATGCACTCGTTTTCCCAATGACAGGAATCCCCAAAGAAAAGTTTTTTGGTAAACTTAAATATATAAGCTTTTAGAAATAAAGATAAAATGTTTAAATGCTAATTGTATGTTATATTAAATTCTTTTAACTCATTTTGTAGAACAATTTCAGTGTCCTCTCATTCATCTTTGATATCATCTGTCACCATTAGAACCTTTTTGAGACCTATGACAGAGTTTACCAAAGCATATCACCTCACTTCTAAGTTGTTAGAGATGTATGCTTTTAAAATCTGTGTACACATTCAAAATTACATTTGACTCAGGTCATTTCAGGCTAATTTCTTCCCCAAAGACATTCCTTAAAGTAGTGACAAATATTATTCCCAATAGAGTAAGGCTACATACTCTTCAGAGAGAGTAATTTTAGGGGGAAAAGATAACATACAGGCATATTAAATCTTTTTTACAGGCATCATTTGATTTTAATTCATATAATATTTCTTGAGTACCATGATAAATCCCCAATTACTCATGCAGTTCGAAAAACAGGATTGTGGAAGAAGAAAATTATTTTTATAAAACGAACATCTTTTGAAATTAATTCTAATGAATACAATTCTAAGAGCAATGACTACAGATGCAATTGCTAATGAAAGGACTGAGAAGGTAAGCGGTTGTTGGTTAGTAATGCAATGTGGAAATAAGATTTAAAAGAATTCATTAGAGATTAAGACAGGAACATTTTTAAGGATATAAATCCTTTTTTTTCTTGGGCTGTAAGCTCTACTGTCTGCTTTATTGTTATATTATTTCTGAATCTTATAACCACTGAAGAATCCTTCTAGTATTTCTTAGACGTCTCCTTTGAACAAGTCTGTGGAACAGTTTGTCTCAAAATACACTGCATTCCAATTTGTTGTCCCAGGAAACTGCATTTATCTTAGGATTTGTAACTCCTTTTATTTTCAAGTCTCTTTTTCTTTATTAGGTAAGGATAATTTAGGTCTGTGACAGAGTCATTTCTTTTTTAAAATGTTAGAATTTGTTTTGAGAAAGCTGGTCATTCATTGGCTAATTAAACATTGTATTTACATTCAGTCAGCAACTATTGAACATCTGACTTGTGCTGAAAGTGTGCTATTTATTTGTATGTGCATCAACTAATCTTGATATCATCCTGATAAGGGGAAGCATTATTTATTTTATAAATGCACTCATGCAGAAAGAGACAAAAAACTAATTTTCTTACTGTGCTTTCTGGACCCTGGATCCAGAAACGTGCAATAATGAAAAAGTTTCTCCTTTGTAACCTTGATGGTACCCATCAAAGGGCAAAGTAAAAATAATCTATGAGTGAAGGATCTTTCTCATTAGGAGTGTTTCTTTTTAATGTAAGTCAGAGTGAGAAAAATTCAAAAAAGATTTGATAATCATTTGCTTGTTTTCATAAAGAAAATTCCATTCAATGTAAATTACCAAGTTATGAACAACAGATGTTTATTGAGCACCTTCTATTGCCACACTCAGCATGATGGTGGACATTTGGGACTGAAAAACCAATGAGGCATTTCTGGCTTGAAAGGAGTTTGTAGTCTGTGTAGAGTGAGAGGGGCATGCAAGAAACCAACCATTACAGTGAGGTAAATAGTGTGATAGATGCCATGCTTCATCCTGCGGGATTTAGGCATCCTTAGAAGAGCAAGACAACCCTAAGCCAAGTTTTGAACAATCTGCTTGAGTTATACATGGTGAAGAGGTAAGAGTGAGGTCTTTAGGTGGAGGAGACACACATGAATTTATTATAACTTAAAACATTCCACAGGCACTGTATGTGTGGGTATTCGTATTTGGGGGAAGTAAAATTTCATCTCCCATGGAATGATTTAAGCTGATAAGGAATATCTTTCACATTCTTCACAAAATACCAATCTAACAGTGACTTGGCATTATCCATTGGTCCAACAGGGTTTGCCACAGAAGTGAAAGGAAGTACAGTCATCCGTCAGTGTCCATGGGGGACTGGTTCTGGGATCCCCCATGGATGCCGAAATCCACAGGCTCTCAAGTCACTTATATAAAATGTTGCAGTATTTGCATGTACTACTAATACCTAACACAATATAAATGCTATGTAAACAGTTGTTACACTGAATTGTTCAGTGAATAATGACCAGTAAAAAAGCCTGTGCATGTTGGGTACAGACACAACTGTCCTCGGCCTGACTAGGAGGCGCATGTCAGCAACCAAACATTTTTTCCTGAATATTTTCAATGGGTGGTTGGATCCACAGATGCAGAACCCACGGATAGAGCAGACTCTGTAGGCACATTCCACAGAACATATCCCTAATTAAAGTATTCCTGGTAAAACTTTATGTTTTCAATTATGCAACAAAATTTGCCATCTTAACTTTTTAAGTGTACAGTATATTCACATTGTTGTGCCACCAGTGTCCACAACTTTTACCTTTTGCAGAACTGAAACACTGAATCCATTTACTCCCTTTTTCTCCTCCCCCAGGCGCTGGCACCCCCGTTCTATTCTCTCTCTCTGACTTTGACTACTGTTGATACCGCATAAACGAAGTCATACACGGCTTGTCTTTTTATGTCTGGTTTATTTCACTTAGAATCATGGCCTCAAGGTTCATCCATCTTGTAGCATTCCTTTTTAAGGCTGAAAAAAATACCTTCACATTTTTTTTTAATTGTAAGTTAATTTATACAGTGTTCCTTGGCTTGGGCTTGTGTGATGTTTCCTCATGATTGTATCTTTGGCTGGACCCCTTTTCATAGTGAACAAATATATACTAAGAGCTAATAAAACTAAAATGTAGGCCCAGGAGTAGGAAATCATTTGAGACCCAGAAAAACACAAAAAGGAAAACAAAATGGATTTGACCACAAAAGTTTCTGTTCAAAAAAAAAAATTCCATAGAGAGATGACAGACTGAGAGAAGTTATTTACCACAAATAAAACTGGGGATTAATACATAGAACATACGCCCTGAACTCCACAATGAAGAGAATATTGAGCATCCTGTGATTTAAATGGGCAAATCACAGAAAAGGAAGCCCAAACATTAGAGGATGCTTTTGAAGAGAGCAAAATGAGATTGTGTCTTAAGGAGGAAGTGGAAATAGGATTTTTGCACAGACATGTTGACAATGTGGCTTTAAATAAGAGGATTAATTATGTATGTGAATTTAGATCCAGAAGAAAGTGGGGAGTTAATTTCCAATACAAATTATGATGGGATATAAAATATATCTCTGCATTTAAAAAATTATGTAACTATGGCAACTTAAAATTTTACTTTTCTAAAAACTAGATATAGTTCTAACCAAGACTGTAAATGTCACAAGTTCAACTATTAAAAGATACATCCCAAGCCCTGGTTGGTGTGGCTCCGTTGATTGGGCATCGTCCCAGGCACCAAAAGGTTGCTGCTTCAATTCCCCGTCAGGAGGCAGCTCATCCATGTTTCACTCGTACATCAATGTTTCCCTCTCTCTCTCTCCCTCCCCCTCTCTCTAAACATCAATAAAAAATCTTTTTTTAAAAAAAGAAAAAGATACATCCCTGCTACAGACGTAGGAGATGATTCATAATTAAGCCAGTCATAGTAATCTAGTTTGGGAGAAAAATGAAAAAAGCAGAAACGCAAATTAAAAATACACTGAGCTATTATGTCTCACCTATCATATTGGCACAATTTTAAAAGCCTGGCCATGTACTCTGTTGATGAAGTTGTGGGGAAACAGGCATGCTCGTACATGGCTTGTGAGAATGCTAAATTCTACAATGTTTATAGAGTTGTCAATATCTATTGAAACTACATAGGCCTTTACTCTCTGATCCAGTAACGCTACTTCCAGAAATTTGTCCTGATGACAAATCTCCAATATAAAAATATAAATACATTATTTATAATTGCAACATTTTGGAAGTTACCTAAGGGCCCAAACATTTAGCTATAGTTGAGGAAACTATGTTATCTATGTTAGTGGAGAACTTTGCAGTTGTAAATGGAATGAGGACAATCTGTATGAACCAGTAAGGAGTGTTTTTGGTGAAATATTTAACTGAAAAAAAGAGTACATATAGCATGTTACCTTTCACGTGAGAGAGAAGAGGAAATATATGTGCATATTTTTGCATAAAAGAACAGAAAAACAAAACAATGAAGTTGGTTACAAAGAGGAGAGAACAGAGCGAAATGGCTAAGGGAAAGGACATTTTTCGATAAATTTTACTTTTGCAGGCTTGGGTAACGTGCTACATATGAAGAAGAAAATTAAATTCATAAGGATGGGAGTAACAAACCACATTCAAGCAGGAACAAAATTTACTATTAAATGAATACCATCATTATACCCTGAACTGAAGGGTGGGGAGAGACCAAAGTAACATAACCTGTACCAGCACTGTGGCTATAAATTCTCATTCTAAAGGGATTTGATTGAACCTAAGATGTCATTAAATTGTAAGATGGGACTCAGTTTCAGGGATGTTAAACTGTGAAAAGTGGTATCTTAGAATCAATGGAATATGATATGGGAAAATGCAAATTAGAATTAAATCAATAATCCAGATAATTCAAGAGTATTAGGGTAAGCACTAAATGCTTCTTTGGGATGTCAGGCTAAGGGTACTTCTGAGGTTTACGATAAATATATAAAGGTATGTGTATATTAGGGGGGGATGGCAATTATTGTTTAATTGGCACAGAGTTTCTGTTTGGGACAGAGTTCTGGAGATCATAGTGGTGAGGGTTGCTCAATACTGTGAATGTTCCTAATGCCATCAAATTATTTGCTTAAAAGTAGCTAAAGTGGTAAATGCTACGACCACAATAAGAAAAACCACCCAAAAAAGCACTGCAAAGCAATTTAGTAGCAAATCTACAGTGAATTGTATATTCCAATTACACGTTTATAAAACACATACTGAAATAACTGGGTCATCTTGGGGCCGAGGAGCCTTTTAAACATCCTTAAAGTAATTGACAGGGTGGGTGACAGTAGAACACACAGGTTGGAAAGCTACCAGGTGTCGTCGTCCGGCTCCAGCTGAGTGGCCTCGGGCCGGTCGCTTACGCTCTTCCTCAGGATCATACGACGAATTGGAACAATCGTAACAGCACCAACTTCGTAAGGTTATGATGAAGGGAACACATGGAGCGCTCAGAAAGTGCCCTCGTTTTCATTCTGAGCTTCCAGGTTTAGCTGAAAGGCCCTTAGGCCAGCCTCTCGGCGCCGGGCGCCCACGGGCGCCTTCTCTTCGGCGCAGTTTCCCCGCCGCCCCGCGTTGCGCCGCTGCCGCCGCATCGCTGGAGGGCAGCAGCGCCCCGGGCCTCATTTTCCACCCGTGACTGCTTCTGGTGACCGGAGTACTTACAGCTTTCCACACGGACCGCGGCCTTTCACACACCCGCCCTCTGCCACAAAACAAAACAAATTCCTTAGAGCTTTTCACGTCTGCTCCCAAGTTTTTGCCCGGGGAGAAGGCCCGCAGTCCCCTCCAAACCCGCCTTCCCACAGCCGTTGCCTGGAAGGGATGAGGCACTTCACCTGTTGCTCCCAAACTGCACTTTAGTTTTCCTCGCCGCCTGAGAAA